AATAAATAGATAAAAAAAATATCATATCATAATTAAAAAGCCGAAGGATTGTTTGACTGGTATGAATCATCGTGTAGCTGTTTTTATAACACATGTAGCTTACGATGCCTTCGCAAATAACAAATATATTTCTTATAAATGTTTTCGTACTCCGATGAAACCATTCGTACTTATTATGCTAGTACAGAGTTGCGTCCCTTGGGCAAGCCAGAAACCTATGATTGTGGGTTCGAATCCCGGTTTGCCCAGATTATGTTTCTAGGTTTGTCAGCACCATACCCGTGGGTTTCACCGAAGTGGTAAACGTCTTGAGACCTGCATCACTTCGGGCTTTCCTCCCACATTAACTGACACGCCGTGATATAACTGGAATTATGTTAAAAGCGGCGTTAAACCGATCTTACTCACTCACTATTATGCTAGTACCACAAGATTATAGCAACTGAAATATGTTTAAAGCCCAACTATACCACGAAGGTCCATACACAATCGAGTCGGTTCCAGGTAAGCAAGTGATTGATAGCATGATCACCGTTCCACGCCATTAGGTTACGGTGACAACCGATCCACGAAGTCACAGCTGACATTCCATTGCCTTCCCGCAACCCAGGGAGGAGTGGAAATATGAAACTAAAAGACTTACCGACCCCGTGAAGATCTTGGTTAGAACTGGTCTTCAACAATCAATTGTCGTAAGACTAACGGGATCAGGTTAGCCTCGCTGACTTGGTTAATGCAGTCATCGTATCTAAATTGCGGCCAAACACAACAAGCAAACAAAGCGTTTCGCATAGAGATGGGTTAAAATTTAAATTTAACGTCGCATTGGCATCGTTTCAGCCATAAAGCGACGTGTTTCCCATATATAATAGTTGTATCTTGTTGTTTAAGTAAATACTGACATAATTATTTTACCATCTTATATTCCCAAATCTGAGTCTACCGCATTCCAAAATACTTGAAAAGTGACTGCATAGCATTAAGGCGCCAGCATCAATTCTCGAGATACTGAAATTTTAAAGAGAGCGACAAAGCTTAAATCATATCTCTCAGGTAAAGTCTGATTCATCGCAAAACGTCGCGTCTCATTTCAGACATTGACCTTTAAGTTGTTTTGTTTTTGGTCGCACTCAACAATATTCCAGCTATTTTGGTCCGTAAATAATCGAGTCTGGACCAGACAATCCAGTGACTGACATCATGAGCATCGATCTACGAAACTGGTACACGATGGCATACATCAAACCATGTCAGCGAGCCTGACCACCCGATCCCGTTAGCCTCCTCATACACAACAAACATGGGTTTCTGAAGACCAGTTCTAACCAGGAATCCTCACGGGGTTTTCCTGCACTGGTGAGGACGTTAGTGATTGGGACAGTGTGGCATACAATGTAGTTGTGTAGTTGATTTGGGAAACATCCCCATGGTAACGTATTGTGTTTACTCCGCGTAATGAGGGTAGCGTCAGCTGACTGTCGCATCAATAACCAGTTCAGAGACCACTGAGAGATTTTTAAAAGAAATTAAATCGCTTATTTTACATTTTATGGAACGCGCCGAAATAGATCACATAACTTCCTTTTTTATCCCCGTATACGTTTATCATGTTGGATAAGAAGCGAACAAGCTCGTCTACATAAAGCATTTATTTATAAGGGCCCTTCAAACTAATGGCGACGTTTCGAATCTAAACTGTTATCTGTTTCAGATTCCAGACACATACCCAGGTCAGGTTCGGCATTTCCCGGAAATCTGAGTCGACTTTTGTCATACATTAAGATCACATTCTGTTAGACGGGGTTTATACCTTTAATAGTTGTGCCCGGAGACTGGAAGGTCGGTGGTTCGATCCCCTGGACGCGTCATACCAAAATACGTTAAATGATGGCACTTGTTGTTACCCTGCTCAGAATTATGGGGCTAGAACAAGGACTGGTCGGCTCGGAGTCAGTTTACTGTGTCTGAGTTCGGTATCCATGTTAAACTACATCTTCCCGAAGCAAGTGATTTAACTGACTTTAAAAGTCCAGTTTCCACCCTTGCCGAACTAGGCTGGTATTATGGAGTTACATTTTGGCTGGACTTACGAGACTATGTATAGTCCAATCAAAATCGCGCAACGAAATCGAAATCCGGCTCGTAAACTGTCATGCAGATTTCGGTGGATCAAAACATGTGCACCGCCAACTCGTTGTCAACAGATATTTTCCAAATTTTTCATGTTTTTAATCAAGAAGCTCACGTGATTTGATGCACTTCGCGATGTACGACCCGTTTTATCACAATATAGATCTTGATTATCGATCAGATCGTCTTGACCGGGCGCCGCCATTTTGTTTGAAGCAAATGCAAGTGATACGAGTGTTGGAATGAGAGGCCATAGGGGGGACATAGCTCGTAATAGCCATTGGTGGCGCTACGATCGAGCCCAGGAATTCCAGCCTGGTTCGGCAAGGGTGGAAACTGAACTTTCATAGTCAGTTAACTCCCTTGCATCGGGAAGATTGTTATACTACGGAATGGTATCTCAGTAGACAGCACTATTAAAACCGTCAAAACTCTGGAGTAGTACAAGCAGCCACACACACACAAACTTACACACACACACACACACTTACACACACACACACCCTCTCTCTCTCACACACACACACGCGCACGCACGTCGCTATAAGTGCAATATAACCTTGAACGTGACGTGAAACCCTACACACACATACACACACACACGTCGCTATAAGTGCAATATAATCTTGAACGTGACGTGAAACCCTGTTTCATCTGAATGCACCAATGCCATTTCATATAGGGGGACGAATCCAACATTCTAGGTGCGTCAGCACCATATCTGTGCTCGTGGGTTACGCCGAAATGCTCTGTGCTAACCGTGATGTAACTCAAAAAGTGTTCAAAGCTGCGTTAGACAAGATATACTTACTCATATCTTTGTTTAATAGTAAATAGAGGCGACTAACGGGATCGGTGGTCAGGCTCGCTGACTTGGTTGATGCATCGTATCCCAAATGAGTGGATTGATGCTTATGTCAATAACTTGATTGTCTGGTCCAGACTCTATTATTTACTGACCGCCGTCATATATAGCTGGAATATTGCTGAGTGCGGTGTTAAACAACAAACAAACAAAAGAAAAACCTCATAAGACAAGCATCTAAAACCAACGCCACTTTCCTCTCACATTTAGCAGACATGCCGTGATATAACTGAAATACTTATCAAAGCGCCCTAAAACACAACTCACTCACATAATTACATCAGTAGTCCGTGCTTCACGTGCATTGGTCTACACAGATAGTTGATTTTCACACGACCAACCAGTAAACAAACATCGCGCCGTATAGTGATTCCCGGTTAAAGGTCGCTAGCAACTGATGTTGAACGACAATTAATGTATCGGCTGGCGTGGCTCGGGTTGCGTGTTGTGAGTGTTTGAGAGAACGACGTTATTTTGCATATGTGAGTGTGAGTTATGTTCTTTCACTCGGATGTTTACACCTCTCTAACAATGGACGGCACTGCTGGATATCACCGAAGGCATAAAATATAAACACAAACAAACACATGGGAACACAAGATTAGCAGCATGCGTATGCATGGACTTGACGACCATCTACAGCAAGACGGATAAAAACAGCTGATAAATGACCTGTTTGTCATGTTCATATTCCTCATTTTCCAACCCGGTTTTCGTATATGTCATGAGTGGGCAATTATAAACACGATTCGTTAGCAGGGCTTACATGATTATCTTGGATAAGTTGACGCTTTTGATTCAGACATCTTTATTGACAATCAATGGGATTAGAAATACTCTTTTTCAAAAGTACAGATTGGATAATACATCAATATATGCAATAACAGTATGTTTTACAACAAACATAACTGGATACAAAATCATGAATCATGCAAAAGACTTATGACAGAATATAGTTATATAGTAAAGGAATTTCTTGACACTGTCATCTAAGTTTGGGTCGCCATAAAGCATAATGTTAACTTTTAATTTCAGGCCAAATTTGGAAAATTCATGTAGCAGTAATCTACGAGATCTAATGATATTACAACATTCGAGGAAATAATGGTCCCGAGTCACCTTCTGCATGTATGCTTGTCGGGGTTATCTCCCAAAACCCCTACATCCCATTTCCCCTACAACCCAGTTCCCCTACATTAGTTAAAACAACACGCGGCATTTACCTGTCTGGCATTATGAACTCACCTAAAGGAGAGATTAAGGTCTGGAGTAGAGGTAGTAGAAATGAAAGGGGTAGAGCTTTAGGGGATTTGATGGTTATCTTCACACTAAGAACGTCGAGAGACTGACTTGCGTACACTGGAAGTGTGTCAAGTCCACATGTAGAGGAAGACTCACGACAGTAGGAACCGTGATGAGGAAAGCTACAGAGCATAACCATGCCCCTGAGGATAGCCAGAAGGTCCGGTTTATGAGCACCCTGGGGAAGAGAGCGAGAGAAGAGTCAACCCCGATGCACACCCTCTACAACGACGAACTCTCCAACTTGAACAACGACGAGACAGGAATGATGCCATCCTTCCCCACCACGAGCAGCGCGTTGTACCGGCACAGACAGGAGACGATTCCTGTTTTACCACAGACAAGATCGGAGGTGGATCTTCAGGATTCCTGGACGCAGACAGCAGATGGACGACCGTTCCTCCTTTTTGCTGACGGTGATGATGACAAGATTCTGGCGTTTGGCAGTCTAGAGAGTCTCGAGGCCTTGCAGTCATCTGAGATTCTATACATGGATGGGACGTTCACTGCCTGCCCTGGACTGTGGAATCAAGTGTACATCATCCATGCAAGACTCGGAGCCACGACCTATCCCCTCATCTGCGCCTTACTCATCGACCGTCAGACAGACACCTACTCAAGACTCTTCGGGCTACTCAAGGATGAAGTTCAACAGAGACTAAACAGACCACTTTCCCCGTCATGCATCCAGACAGACTTTTAGATGGCTGCTATTCGAGCTGTCCAAGTCGTGTTTCCTACTGCCGATGTGAAGGGGTGTTTCTTCCATTACTGCCAGGCGATATGGAGGAAGGTCCAGGATCTGGGACTAGCTGTCACGTATCGAGAAGATCCTGAAGTCTGCAATTGGATAAGAAGAGCAGCTGGCCTACCCCTACTCCCCCAGAACAAGATCCAGGACACGTGGGTTGACGCAATGGACAACACACCAGATGTACCAAGAGCTGTCGCCTTCAACGACTACATCGTCACTACCTGGGTCGTCCACGGAGCACGATTCCCCCTACCACTGTGGAACCATCACGGTACAACAGGTCCCAGGATGAACAACAACCTGGAAGGCTTTCATAACCGACTCAACCGAGGTCTCCCTCACCGACATCCCAACATCTACCGATTTGTGGAGGTAGTCAGGAAGGTGGAACAGGCAGAACGAGCTAAGATTTTACAGCTCGACTTTGGAGCAGCTCCAAGAGGCAGGAAGAGAGTGTACAGAGAGGTGGAGAACCGTCTCTGCCGCCTGAAGGACGAGTTGAATAGAGGAGAAATCCCCAATGCAGTTTCTAGATGCGGTTGGCCATCTCCTCAGGCTGGGATAAAGAGTGAATTGAACATTTGAGATGAAATTTATTATAATGTATTATGAATTTTGAAAAATGAACATTTTATTATAATGTATTATGAATTTTGAAAAATGAACATTTTATTATAATGTATTATGAATTTTGAATAATATCGTAATCGTAATTAAATATTTATCTCAATCTATTCGTGTTTCTTGGGTTGTTCCATTGTATGAAATAGGTAACAGACTAGGGATTAGCAGTGCCATGGACCGTGAACTTTGTTGTCTTAAGCTGTAGGGGAAATGGGATGTAGGAGTTTTGGGAGGTTACCCTTGTCGGGGAGGGGGGAGGGGAAGCCATGTGAATGGATCCGTGGTCTTGGGAGTGCACATGCAAATCATGCAGCTGGCTGACCTCTACAGTCGCACGATATCCGCACAGATCGCAGCTGTATATTTGCCCCGGCTTTGTTTGCAGGTCGTACTTCATATGCACATGCCGACTCCGTGGTCTTGTGGTAGAGCGTCCGGGGTTCGATCCCCGGCCGCGTCATATAAAAGACGTTAAAAGATGGTACTTGTTGTTACCCTGTCTGGCGCTCGGCATTAAGGGGCTAAAACAAGGACTGGTCGGCTCGGAGTCAGTATACTGTGTCTGAGTGGGGTATTCATGTTAAACTGCGGCATGGTATCTCAGTTTGCTAGCACTATAAATCGGCATCAGTCCGGACTAGTACAAGCAGCAACAAACGCACACACACACGTACATGCACGTCGCTATATAAGTGCAATAATCTTGGACGCGACGTTAAACCCAATTTCACCTCACCTCATATGCACATATTGCTGTTTCGAATTTCGCTGAAAATACCTTTCGTGACGACAATTTACCTATGTCAATACGCGGCAGATATCTTCAAGTGTAGGTGGGAAGCGTGTAAAGTTGTTACATCTTTACGTGCTTTCATTATTGAATACAATCAAAATATGATGCGAAATCATTTTCCAGGATATTTGGGAACGAGCGAGCGAGCGAGTGAGTGAGTATGGTTTTACGCCGCTTTTAGCAATATTCCAGCAATATCAGGGCGAGGGACACCAGACATGGGCTTCACACATTGTACCCATGTCGGGAATCGAACCCGGGTCTTCGGCGTGACGAGCGAACGCTTTAACCACTAGGCTATCCGACCGCCCTATTTGGGAACGAAAAGACAAAAACGATGTCCAGAGGTTTGTTCTTTAGCAAGAACGCCTCAAGTATAGTGTTCACCGTCGAGCACTACCCACGACCACTGAAATGTGAGTCTCCCGTTTGTAACATGATATAGTCATTACACAACACGGCAACCTTGGAAGGTCAGACAAAAAGCATACATTGGCAGCTAACCCTGCCTCCTTGTATGGTGAGTTAGGAATAAGACCAGACCGTGCTGAAATATTAATGTCACTTGGCTGTGCTGATATCTAAATTAATGAATTAATTATTCAAAGTTTATTTTACGTCAGGCTGTGGAGTGCATAAAACTGATCGATACACATATGTAGTGTTGGCACGATGCATATGTTGCACCTCTTAAATGCTTTTGGGAAACAGAAACTCCGATCTGTTTATGGGTACCCGGTAGAAAGTGAATAAAGGAATGATCACCCTAAAATCATGATTGACTGGGCTCCTTCTACCTCTCGACTAAAAGGACTGGCTGTGAGGTCCAACTTTTGAACTAAACTGCCGGACGACGTTGGTAATTTTTTGGTCACTTCAATTTTTAAGTGTATACTTATACTATCTATCTTTTGCCCCGCAATTTAGTTTAATCATTACAGGACATGTGGGGGAGTTGGTCCGTTATTTCATTTTGATTTCTTTTGATATTAAAATTGAAATACATGTTACAGAGCCCTAGTTCTTTTTACCAGATTGCGGCCAAGGATGAGGTGAGGTGAAATGGGGTTTAACGTCGCGTCCAAGATTATTGCACTTATATAGCGACGTGCATGTACGTGTGTGTGTTTGTGTGGCTGCTTGTACTAGTCCGGACTGATGCCGATTTATAGTGCTAGCTCACTGAGATACCATGCCGCAGTTTAACATGAATACCCCACTCAGACACAGTATACTGACTCCGAGCCGACCAGTCCTTGTTTTAGCCCCTTAATGCCGAGCGCCAGACAGTGTAACAACAAGTACCATTTTTTAACGTCTTTTGGTGTGACGCGGTCGGGGATCGAACCCCGGACGTTCCGCTCTCCGGGTGGACGCTCTAACACCTGACCACGGAGGCGGTCTTGCCAAGGATGAAAAGCGAGTACTCATTAAGACTTTACATAACCGACCCGTAAAGATCCGGGTTAGAATTGGTCTTCAGCTGCAACCCATGCTTGTCGTAAGAGGCAACTAACGGAATCGGGTGGTCAGGCTCGCTGACTTGGTTGATGCATGTCATCGTAACCGATTGCGAAGATCGATGCTCATGATGTCACTCACTTGATTGGTTGGTTGGTTGGTTTGTTGTTTTACGCCGCACTCAGCAATATTACAGCTATATGACGGCGGTCTGTAAAATAATCGAGTCTGGACCAGACAATCCAGTGATTGATATCATGAGCATCGATCCACGCAATTGGGACCTGCATCAACCAAGTCAGCGAGCCTGACCCCCCGATCCCGTTAGTCGCCTTTTACGACAAGCATAGTCGCCTTTTACGGCAAGTATGGGTTGCTGAAGAGCTATTCTACCCCGTATCTTGACGGGTCTCTCACTTGATTGTCTGGCCGAGACTCGATTATTTACAGACCGCCGTCATAGAGCTGTAATATTGCTGAGTGTGGCGTTAAACAACAAACAGACAAATCCTAACAATGAGAGCCTATAACGTGACGCAGTGAAACAAAAACGCATTCGACTTGAAATTACAGTTGACGTCACGTCTAACAAAACATCGAATTCAACAGCTGCAAGTGTGGATTTAAATAATGGCTTGTGTAGTATAGCCGATAAAAATCTCCAAATCCTGTTCAAAGCTTGCACAAACATATTGTGTTTCGGGCTTCAATCATGACCCAGCCATTTATTCAAATCGAATACTCATTTTATCAGCGCATCGCGACAGGGGAAATATCTACCCTTTCTTTAACCCTTCTGAAACCTGAGCCGTGACGGCCAAATAAAACATAAGTAATATTTGCCCCGATGTTTCTACCTGGACATAAAGAGCAGCTAGTGTTTGCCACCAGCGTGATGCATTCCCTGTCACAATGAGCCGATCCGCACAGCGCGGGCAGTCAATAGAGGTAACCAGGCGTAAAGGTAAAGAAACGGTGCATCTAGACTTGCTGAATGTCGAAACGAAAGCCTATCTTGACACATTGCTTTTTGATATGTTGCAGCTTATACCATGTTAATAAAAGTTAAATGAGGTATTAACACAATTAATCTAAATTTGCTGCGCTGGAGTCGCTCAAGCCGTTGAGACCCGTGAAGATCCGGGTAGAGTTAGGTCTTCAGCAACCCATGTTTGACGTAAGAGGCGACTAACGGGATCGGGTGGTCAGGCTCGCTGACTTGGTTGATGCATGTCATCGTATCCCAGTTGCGTAGCTCGATGCTACTGGTGTCAATCACTGGGTTGTCTGGTCAAGACTCGATTATTTACAAACCGCCGTCATATAGCTGGAATATTGCCGAGTGCGGCCTTAAACAACAAACAAACAAGTAAGCTGTTTCCCGGTGTCTGTTCTGTTAATGGCAACTCGCTATACCTTACCGAATCCCAGATTCTACATCCATACAAAGGGTACATTTTAGAGAACAGGCGTCCAATAGAGGCCTGTTCTATATTTTTGGGACAGGGTGTATATGGTCCGGCATCAGTTAGAGGTGGATACTGGGCGTCTAATAGAGGAAATACGGTATTCTAATCGGTGTCCCCACGGGAAAATGTTTGGATTAACGTAAACATATCCAAGGTAATCATGAAAGCCCTGCTAAAGAACCGTGTTTATAATTGCCCACTCTTGTCATATACGAAAACCCGGTTGGAAAATGAGGAATATTAACATGACAAACAGGACGTTTATCAGCTGTTTATGTCCGTCTTGTTGTCGATGGTCGCCAAGGCCATGCACACAGCATGCTGCTAATCTTGTGTTCCCACCTGTGTGTTTGTGTTTATATTTTATGCCTTCGGTGATATCCAGCAGTGCCGTCCATTGTTACATTGTTAGATAGGTTTAACGCCGCACTCAGCAATATTCCAGCTATATGACGGCGGTCTGTAATTAATCGAGTCTTGACCAGACAATCCAGTGAATGACATCATGAGCATATCGATTTACGCAATTAGGATACGATGACATTGCATCAACCAAGTCATCGAGCCTGACAATCCGATCCCGTTAGTCACCTCTTATGACAAGCATGGGTTCCTGAAGACCTATATTCTCTACCCTGATCTACACGGGTCTGAAATCAGTACATACCCACACAAGAACAGTTAATACTTATCAAATCATATTGAGACACACATGATAAGGTTTACAATCATAAAATACAATACAATGGGTCAAATATGTGGCAACAGCACTATTTCATAAGTCAATGCACACACGAATTTACAGAATTCGTATCTGTCGAATGTTTTGAGTGTTCCGTTCTAAAATCCGACAGAAATGTCGGCACTTTCAGAAAGGTAAAAGTAGCATGTCAGTTCGTTGAAGGCGTCGAATCACCCTAGTCTCGCTATTTTGTAGGTAAAGCCGGTCTTTTAGAAACCGTTCCCTCGCAAAACTTTACGAATGACGGAGGAAGTCCCGAAAGCGAATCAACGCCTGTAACAAGCTCATCACAGCGCAGATATCTATAACGGGAGGATAACAAAGGTGTCAAGCGGTGAGACGGAGCTTCTACTGTAAACAACTAAGGGAGGTCACTCTTATTTACGATCCCTTGAATTTGTTACAACCAACAATCATCAGAAATAAACTTACAGCATTTAGAACCAGCTTGTGATCACGGGGACAAGGTCAATTAGGGCATGACAAGCAGTTGACGTCACAGCAAATATTAAGACGTCATCTTGTCCGTGCAGGACGGCGAGTTGACTTGTCTGGATTTTCACAAGATGACGACTGACCAATCAGATAGCCATATATTCTTTAACGAGTAATGATAAATGATAATCCGGGGAAAATACTTTTTACATATTAACAATATTAATATAGATAGGTAACGTACTTCCTCTATTAATTTCGCGCAAGCTGTTGTATATTCTGTTTAATGCTGTCACAGTGGCAACTCACTACATTACCGAATCCCAAATTCTACACAATTCTACACTCATTAAAAAGGTACATTTATAGGAAACGGTCATTGTTAATAAAATTCCGGCTTCTTTTATCTGGACAGACCCTATGACCCGGCGTCAATTAGAGTCCGGTGTCTAAAAGAGGAAATACGGTAAACTAATATGTGTATGTGAGTGAGCGGCGTGTCAGTTTAATATGTGAGTGAGTGCAGTCAGCAATAAATAGCCTATATCAAGGCGGCCTGTAAATAATCGATCTCAGATCAGACAAGCCAGTGACTCCAAACTGAGCAACGATCGGGGCATGACACGCAATCAGCCAAGTCACGCAGCCTCGTCGCCCGATACACGAAGTCGCCCCTTCCGACAACAAGCAATGCAGAGTGTGGGCCTACTGTGACCAGAGTGACCAAGGAGGTTTATGTTGGAGGAAAGTGGCGCAGGTCAAACACGTTTAACACTTTGGTGTAACCCACGAGCACAAGCAGGATGCTGCTAGACCAAGGTTCGTAATCAGACCGAATCTGTAATTCGAAGACACGATCAGAGGATCCTTCCATGACTAAGGGACGCAACTCTGCACAACAAATTGCGGCGGCCTGTTGGCCACCTGAGCCCGACGTGCGGCCTTCTTTTTTTATTTCCTGTTTCTTTTTAATCTATCTGCAAACATTGTTTAGAAGCTTACGTAACGTATGATGCTTCTGGTTGGTAAACAAAATTACATCTGTTGAAAGAATGACGAAGAAGGTAATTTGTCGCAAACTAAATTTGCCACATAAAGTATACACTTAATAAGTGGATTTGACCAGAAATTACAAACGTTATCAAAACGTTATTTTGATGAAAACAGTCGCGGAAACACTGCAAACTTAAGGTCCCATTCGTGACCAACTCGTCCCATTCCGGGACAAGCCTTGTTCATTCGTGACCAACCTTGTGTTATTCCGGGACAAGGTGCAGGTTACGGAAAGGGGCGAGTGGTGACGAATGAAGCCTTGTTGTAGGTTACGGAAACAACCAAGACACAACTAAGATACCCGAATCAAATACATCACCATCGAAAAACAGTTTCTTGTTTGTTCCGTTTTTAGCCACCATCAAACATCGGTGTATTTTTTCTTCAGCCTGGCAGTTCAGATGACGCTTGGCGGATACAGTATTGACGTGTCTGGTGGGTTTACTGGTTCCTCGCCTCTGTTCCGTCACTGTTGTGTGACAAACTGGGTATCTTATCCTTACGCAACCGTCAACGGGAAGCAGTTTACTGTTTCAGTTTTCCGTTGTTGTGTTTAACACTCGACTTCTTCCAATGCCTATTATACGGCGCTTGGGCTGGCGCAGAGTCGTGTCCGACAAGCCGCGGTATAACGAGGTATGGAAACTCCCAGGTATGTGCGTGATGAGGTCAGCGAACTTGTCACATGGACAAGTGATAGGCATAGCTATTACAATTACAGTAAAGTAGTTTTTACAACAGTGTCGTAAAGTTTTGACTTGGATCACAAACCATTATGAGTGTCGTTACGTGATGTCAGGAGCAACAACGCAAGTAGGGGCACGGATGGCTGTGCATAGGGCACACCAAAGCTTCTGAAGAGCTGAATGAGTGAGTGAGTTGGGTTTAACGCCGCTTTTAACAGTAGTCCAGTTATATCACGGCGTGTCAGCTTAATGTGGGAGGAAAGCCCGAAGTGATGCAGGTCTCAGACGTTTACCACTTTGGTGAAACCCACGAGCACGGGTATGGTGCTGACAAACCAAGAAACATAATCGGGGCGAACCGGGATTTGAACCCACAATCATAGGTTTCTGGCGTGGCCAAGGGACGCAACTCTGCACAGCGAATCGCGGCGCCTACACAACTGGGCCCCCGTGTCCCCCGTGAAAGGCTGAAACATACCGGAGCAGGTGTGTGCGTGCGTGCGTGCCTTCGTGCGCCTGCGCGTGCGCGTGCGTGTGCGTGTGTAGAGAGGGGTAACATTAGTGTTAAATAACATCTTTCTAGCGATATAGTTGTCCTTGTTGCCATACACCGTCAACTATAAGCAAATGACAAAGGTTTTCTGTACAAATACAAGTTCAGTTTCACCGACAGCAGTTGGGGCATTTCCTAAATGTTTGGTAGATATCACCTACCCCATTAAATAATTATTACAGTCCCTTAAGTAGAATTTATGCCTTGAAATATTACTTCAGACTCGTCCCCTGTGAAGATCCGGGTTAAAATCGGTCTAAAACAATGTGTTGTCTCACCCCGCACTCAGCAATATTCCAGCTATATGACGGCTATCTGTAAATAATCGAGTCTGGACCAGACAGCCCAGTGAATATCATTAGCATCGATCAACGCAAATAGGATAAGATCACATGCATCAACCAAGTCAGAGACCCTGACCATCCAATCCCGTTAGCCTCCTCTTACGTCAGGCATTGATTGCTGAAGACCGACTGTAACCCGGATCACCACAGGTAGTAGTAGTAGTAGGAGCAGCGTAGTAGTAGTAGCACAGCAGGCTGTGAAGCAATATTAGTAGTAGTAGTAGTAGCAGTAGTAGTAGCAGCAGACGCAGGCTGAGGAGCAACAGCAACATTAGTAGTAGTAGTAGTAGTAGTAGTAGTAGTAGTAGTAGTAGTAGTAGTAAATAATCGAGTCTGAGCATCGATCAACGCAAATGGGATAAGATTACATGCATCAACCAAGTCAGCGAGCCTGATCATCCGATCCCGTTAGTCGCCTCTTACGTCAGGCGTGGATTACTGAAGACCGACAGTAACCCGGATCACCACGGGTAGTATTAGTATTAGTAGTAGTAGTAGTAGTAGTAGTAGTAGTAGTAGTAGTAGTAGAAGAGATACAGGTTACAGTTGTAGTTCACATCACCTTCCCCTTGGTTTTTGACAGAAACCCTGTGTGAAGAGTTCCATTTGAAACATAATTACTCCCACCTTTGATGGTCATTTTACTGGTGTATCTTTCAATCGCATCGCTACGACATCACTTGAAGAGTTAGGCCCCTTACATAACTGATGCATTGCTTTTGCAATTTAGGTGGCATTTCACCAGATGTTTTGTCGGCATCTGGTGAAAAAAATAGTGAAAGTTATTTTAAAAGCACTACGTCCTTTAAAGGATGACACCATACAGAATAATGTTATAAAAAGAGGATGAATCATCAACAAGTTGCATGGTAGTATTTCAACGTCCTTGTGCAACAAACAGAGAATAAAAAAAAAGGTGGAAAAGGAAATATTAACAACAAAATATTTTAGGATATGAAAAAAAACAACTAAGTAAAAGATCAAATAAGCCGCAATTATGTTTATTTGTGACTGGTAATTTATTATAGGGGTGGATAGGGGGAGATTGGTGTCAAGACTATTCATATTTGCCTGACACCCCTCAGTTTTTTTAAATAATTGTCCATGACACACCCCATAACAAATTATCAGTCTAAATAATTTTTAAAAAATAACTTTTTATTGGAAAAAGTAAAACTGTATAAACATTACGTATGGCTTTTGTTATCTGGCTAGTATTCGTATAGATCTATATTTTCATTGAAAAAAGATTTGCGGTCTAAGTGGCAAATAAGGAAAATGTTAATAGCAGTCGTAGAACTTTGGGCGAGCTTGGACCAGTAAAACTTAGGTCTTGAACTAACTTGAGCGAACGGAAAAAAGAACAGCTGGTGCGGAGTTGCCTCCCCTTGCACGAGCACTTGACAACATCCGGTGAAAATACTGGCAGACTAGCAGACGGGACGATCTCATTTCTTGACCTCAATACTGCCTCATCTGGAACTACGGTCAATTAGGTCATCTTCTATCGTGCCGGGGACGTGATAGAAAACAGTGTTTGCAAACTTTGTATTTGCGTAAGTACGTTTATAAATAGAATACAGAGGCCGAAAATGGCTTCATGCAAACGTGTATTTAGTGAAGATCTAGGCCCCAAGATCTATCTTCATGATCATGTGATGTCGGCATGTTGGGGTGTGTGTATTGCTTTTTGCCGGGTCACTTGTCTCACCGTGGACCCAAACCTATAAATACCCCACAATAACTCCACTCTAATTCCTAGGTATGTGATTTAAACACATGGTAAAGATGCAAAAGTTCCAGCACAACCCTAAGCATGCTAAGTGTACGATGGTAAAGGGGTCAAGGACTAAGATCATAAAGTAAGCGAGATTAGTAAAGTCAGTTTGTGAGATGTGAGGCAGCAGTACTTAGTTACCAACTCTCTTGTGCACATCAGTGCCATCTTCTGCATTGCATCAATGTGCTGTACAAATGAGTACATATTGGACCCATGAAGATCCGGGGTAGGATAGGTTTTCAGCAACCCATGCTTTGCCGTAAAAGGCGACTATGCTTGTTGTAAAAGGTGACTAACAGGATCAGGTGGTCAGGCTCACTGACTTGGTTGATGCATGTCATCATTTCCCAATTGCGTTGATTGATGGTCATGATGTCAATCACTGGATTGTCTGGTCCAGACTCAATTATTTACAGACCGCCGTCATATAGCTGGAATATTGCTGAGTGCGGCATTAAACAACAAACAAAACAAACAAACCAGTATTATATAAATACATGGCTCTTGACTTACAGCCATGTATAAGGGGACAACTTTCCCTCATTCTGACCAGGAAACATATGCATATATACATAATTGTATTGATCTGTACTCAAAAGTGTCTGTGACATTATCAGGTATACATAGGAACCACAATAGGCCTGTTCTGAGTGTTCAACAAATACTTTCAGGAAGAAATGACAGAAAGATTGTTACCAATAACAGAGTTATATGTGCAAGTACCATGATCATCTAGTTGATGGATTTTTGTTTCTGTGAACTAGTCCTTTCTGAAGTTGTGTTGATGGAAGGTGCTTATCTGGTGTATAATATTTCGGACTACCTTTAGAATACAGGACCACAAACTTTTCAAACACGTGACAATACCCTATGACGTAATTTGTAGTATTTTGTTGCCAGTCACACCGGCGAAACAATGCCCTGTGACGTCAGGGGTCATCGAGTGTGCTTAAGCTCCTCCCAGTGATCTATCATCTCTACACGAAATGTCATTGAATACGCCAAGCGCTGTTGAGAGTTTTGAATATTTGTTTACTGAATATAGCCTGCAGCGGCGCATTTTATAGCAAGCGCAAGTCTACGAAAGCACTTTTATTTTTTTTATATTTTATATTTCGTTTATCTCGTAACTCATTTTTTCGGTGCATTAATTTTCATTATTGTGCACAAGAATGTAGTTTATTGGGGATAATATATTGGCGCTGAACACATCCAAATATCGCTAGTGTTAGGGTAGGTTACCCCGAACTCTATCCTTAGCCCTTGGATCCCCTTTACGATCAATCACCCATTTTCGATCATTAGGGTTAGGTACCCATTTAGTGGCTATTAGATTACCCGAATTCTGACCTTAGCCCTTGGATCCCCTTTACGATCAATCATCCCTTCACGATCATTAGGGTTCGGTAAATCTGCCCGTTTAGTTTCTATTATAGATTCTATAGCAGCTCCTAAGATTCTTCACACAAAAACATCGAGTAAAAAGAATGAAATGGTTTTGTGTCGAATACTTTGGCTACTGGAAACTGTCCTGGAACATTCACACAAGCCACTTTCACCGGCTACATTTTTTCAGTACTGATTCAAAAGCAAACTCACTGTTGTGTCGTCACTAGCCATGCACATGCCTTCCTCGTTCCTTAATATTATCCACATCATCCTTACAGTGTTCCATTGTTCCCTACCACACTTTTCTGTCACAAAATCCATCTGACGAATTATTAAATAACACGTCATTCATGCGTACCTGTGAGTTCGACGTCTGATGCCTGGAGCCGTTTTCAGTTCTCGCCATTTCGGATCATTCCTCGCCACTCGGTATCTTGTAGATTACAGAATGGCACGAGTGTGCCATATGGCATCGGGATCATTCGTAAGTGTAGATAGACTAAAGTCACGAGACACCATGCCTACTCATAACCTTCGTAAGGATCCGTCACCTATTCGACCCTTTTTGTTCAGTTCAGTAACGTCGTGGCATGACTAGGTTAATTTGCACTTTGTTTCACAGTGTGGACGTAGCTCAGTCGGTTAGCTGTCGGGCTAACAATCTGAAGGTCACGAGTTCTCGTCTGACGGATTCTCACAAAAACTGGTTGCTTGTCTTTGAGACATGTGACCTACGGCAGAGACCGTCCTCACGAGAAGTTGTGGTACTGTATTCTAAAGGTGCTCCAATATTTCCTTACAACATGTACAGGAATCAATTTTCCTCATCACTTTCCAATAAAGTAAAAGGAGCCGCCGTCATGTGCACTCTATAACATATATCATGTTGTGTTGGCGATAATAGGTACTCTGCAATTACAGATGACATTGTGTTGTACTGAAAGATCACGACATGAGCCATGTTGACCATGTTAACAAATATAGGTTCATAGCTTAATATATCAAAACTTGAGACTTATTAACATGATTAAGTATTGCATACTCATCATGTTCAAACAGGTTATGGTACTTTTCAAAGACAAATTGCAACAAAATTTATTAAGTGTATATTATCTTTTTGAATTTATTTGTCCCCAAAATGACTTGTGTCCCTGGTGTGATTGTGAAGACATACCTGCATCAAATGTCAATCTTTTTAATTTAACATGATATCAATCATTAAATATGTATAATGACCATAATGACATTCTTCAATTATTCCAGGCTTAACATCATCAATTCTTTGTCCTAAAGACTGCATAATTTCTGTCTGCTGATTGTCTTCATCATGTTCGTAGCTGGCAAACGTTTGTTTAGAGTGATTAGGAGCCAGAAGTGTATAGTAATCACAGTAATTGCATATGAACTGTATGCAGGGGTCTTGCATTTTCTACACAGCCATTTGCTATGGGCTTTTTTAAACTATGGACTCCCTAAATGTACATTTTGATATTTAATTTCTTTGATTTTGAACAATGAACATGTCTCATAATAATCAAAGTCATCTTTATGTTTCAGAAGGCCTCCAACAGACAATACTGATAATTGAATGTCTGCACTCCAGGAAACTTTTCTGCTCAAATGGCGACAGCTTTATGTGCTACTGTCATCAACTGCCAACAGCTGTCAGCCAAGAACAGCTAACCAGCTGCAGCCAAGACGACATGTCCACCAGTCATGCAGCCACAAACATCGGGCCATGACTGACCCAGAGAACAAGGGTCATCACAGTCGGGGAGTCAACTTTGACACTCTCGGGTCATGGAACAACCGTCTGGATATGCCCATTTGGTATGAGCAGAGTATCATTAAAGGGATACCAATACCTCGTATCCCCCTGGATGAAATTGGAATTGCCAGTGTAATTGGTCGGAGAAAGGTGAACGAGGATAGATTCATATTCAAGGAGCTGGCGCCACAGTCTCTGCTTTATTTTGGTATGTTTGATGGACATGGGGGATCCTATGCTGTAGACTATGTCTGCAACAACCTTGAGAATCATATGCTGTACTGGCTCACCCAGACGTCTGACCTCACTAAAGTCCTCCACCAGTCATTTGTGGATATCAACAATGTATTAACTCGCCATATTGTTCACTATCACGCTGGTAAGTCTGTACAAAGGGAAAAAGGGTTAGTCATTTATTATGTTTACAGGTCTGTAGAAATCTGTAATGGTTCACTTGTTCAAAACTTCATCAGATACCCTATAAACATATTTGGCCCATTGGGTCAGTATGGACTTCTAGTTGACTGGCTATTTGTGGACACATCTTGTTTTCTTTTCGTCTTTTGGAACCATCTGGAGTTTGAATTTTAATTCCAGTCACAATTTGTCCATTTTGAACTTACATCGTGATTATTGCATGGCTTCTGGTAAAACAAAGCATTGCTACATGTCAACATGCTCAAACAAGGTATCCCAAATATTTCAAAATTTTTTTTGTATCGATGTTAATCCAACTGTACATTCAATCGTCATCCCGTTCACAGCATCATCCTTAACAACCGACACCACTGTATCCTTCCATTGTTTACAGGCAAGGAGACTTTCAATACTGGAACAACAGCTACTGTGTGTTTGTTGAGAAACAGTGTGGAGTTGGTAGTTGGTCATGTTGGGGACAGTTGTGCTCTACTCTGCCGGAGTGGGAACCCGATACGCCTGACACAAGACGATGACCCAGATAATGCTGAGGAGAGCAGGCGAATCCAGGAACATGGAGGCAAGATCGTGCACAACAGTCTGGGTATTGCCCAGGTGAACGGGCGGCTCTCTATGACCAGGAGTATTGGAGACGTGGAACTGAAGCAGTATGGTGTCATCGCCAAGCCTCATGTCAGGTCTATTGAGGTGAGCAGACTGGGAAGGCTTAGTGATGCTGCTGTTATAATTTTGTGTTCAGTGCTCACTTTGTGTGACATCATAGCACTGCATGGCATCACCATTGAAAGTTGTTGCACAGTTGAAAATGAGGGAAATACATTAACATGGTAAATGCACATGTGTTTATCCATTTACTGTGTTAATTATTGTTAAGTTCAATTGTGATAAAAAAATACAATTAAAAGGTTGCATTTTGTGCCTTACTCTGCTGGTGATGTTTAATAAGTATTGCGATGCATATTATATCATGAACAAAGTACCGCGATATGTTTCATATTGGGAGATAGTCATATCGTGACATCCCTACTGTATTTGTTACTTTCTGTTGCAGGTGAAACACGGGAAAGATGCTTTCCTGGCTCTGGGCACGGATGGGCTGAGTTTTGTCATGGGCGACCAGGAAGTGGTGGACATCGTGGGCAGCTGTCGTGATACCAATGAGGCTGCCAGTATGCTGACTGACCAAGCACTTCAGTTCGGCTCGGAGGACAACACAACAGCAATGATTATACCGTTCGGGGCATGGGGGAAATATCGCAGCACTACCAATTCCATTCCATACAGCTTTGGGAGAAATTTGTTTGGAAATAGATTTAAATATGGTTAACTTGGTTAAGCATGTTTGTCTTTCAGGAGAACAGTATTATGACATTTGCTGATAGTTTGATAGACTTGTCAGAGAATTATTATTTGGTTTGGTTAAATCTGTGAAAGAAGATGTATTTGTTTAAGCAATCATGTGTTTTCAATCTCCTTACAATGACATTGTTTTGTTGAATAAAATTGTATCAGTTGTTATTGATATACATAATTTTCTCTGCTTGGTCAAGCTGACTGAATTCATTACTGATCTCACTGACAGATTCTTTAGCTTACAAATAGTTATTTATCAAAGGAACATTCTTCTATGATAATAAGTTCCAGTTGGGATGGGTTACCCCTAACTCTATCCTTAGCCCTTAGATCCCCTTTGCAATCTTTGGGTTAGGTACCCTTTTCGATCAAACACCTCTTCATGATCCTTAGGATTGGGGGCGCCCCTTGTCAATAAAACACCCCTTTAGAACCTAGGGGTTAGTTTTGTGTAAGGATATAGGTTATCTCTTTGGACAATTTTATCCAATTTAATTTGAGGAAAATCCTAGCAATTTTTATCAAGTTTCAAGTTTCGCAGAGAAAATGGCTTCTGCACATGTGCTTAAAGGTGAACAGTCAGGTGCTGATCACTTGGTAAGTGAGACCTAAGTACCGGTATTTGTGATAGCACCTGTGGTATTAGATTAACTCACTAACCTAGCTTAGCTTCAAGCTGGCAACATGAGTTTGATCCTCCACATTGTGCTATTTGAAATCCGAAAGAAAGTGGGCCTTGTAAAGTTCATAACTCCCTAGTTTTTTTCAGATTTTTTTCAGACCAGTTTCAAGAAAAGGGTGTCTAAAATTACCAATGCATTCATAAAAAATATATAAAATTCCAGTACCAATTTTAATTAAATGTATTCTAAAATGACCAATCCTGTCATAAAAAATTAGAAATACCAGTAGGACAGCTTGAAAAAACTATGGTCTTCATATTTCACTGAACAACTGAAGGTTAAGATTATGATTCACATGATATAGATTGATCCTTCTGTCTCTTTGTTACCAAACAGAAATTTCATCACCTCAAATTCCTTGAACTTAAAATATGGTTGTAACTTAAGGCCCTGTCAGTATCCCACACAACCACACTTGGATCCCGGGGTGGTGCCCAGCAACATTAGCTTGGTGTAAGAGATGACTTGGTTGATAGCATATTTACATTCATGATGTCAATCACTGGATTGTCTGGTACAGATTGGATTATTTACAGGTCATTCTCATATATACTACTCAACATTTGCTAAGGTTCACACCGTTGACTAAAGGTTACTGTTTTGGTCCATGTCAGCTGTTGAGTTGTACAGTTGGAAAATTGCTTAGTTAGGGATTAAACAACAAACAGTATCGACACTATGGCTTGATGTCAGAATTCTGCTTGTCTCAAACTTGGTAGAACTTAGTGTAATTTGGGGGCGGTCGGGTAGCCTAGTGGTTAAAGGGTTCGCTAGTCACGCCGAAGACCCGGTTTCGATTCCCGACATGGGTACAATGTGTGAAGCCAATTTCTGGTGTCCCCCGCCGTGATGTTGCTGGAATATTGCTAAAAGCGGCGTAAAACCATACTCACTCACTCACTAGTGTAACTTGGGTAGTTCTTAATTTTCTCTGAAAAGTTGAAGTTGTTGAATAACAGATTAATGGAAACCTGTATGAAGCACTTGAATCAGTTAATGGAATGCCATCATTTCTTATGTTAGTTGAGCACAGTGGATCACACAGACTAGTAATCTTCTTTTGTTATTTATTGCTTGTGTATGATAGTGTCAGCTGCTGTATTCGTGATCTGAGTGCCCACCTTATATACTCCTGTTACATACAGATTTATTTCACATTTGGACATGTTGAAGATTTATTGAGCTAAGAAACTTATCACAGATTTGTTATGTAATTATAAGGGTTTAGAATAAACTTGTGACAATTAAAAATGAAATCCATCGGTTATCTAGTTTGGGCTTTCTTTGGGGTGATTAACTGAATTGTTTCATAAGAGAAAATCTTGGGCTTAACCCTAGTACACATGGTGGTAATATCCATTGTTGTGTCAAAGTATTGACTAATGCAACTGAAATCAGATTCCAAAGTGTTTTCTAAATGATGTTATAATAATTTTATTGAAACGTAATTTGATTTCTTGTGTTCATGCTGGTCAGCTTGCATAACATTCCCATTTATCAGCAGCCAAGAGGCTTAATGTGATCATGTAATATACATAGTTATTGGCTAATGTTGCAAGTGCTTGTATTATGTATGTGTAGTTTGCTTGATAAAAGATTTGACTATACATTGACTTTATTGTACTTTCATTGACAAAGTAAGACCTTGTCAAGGGCCCCATCCACAAAGCGATCTTAGCACTAGGATTGTTTTAAGTCTATGTTATTGTTTTGGAGTTATGATCGTCTTTGCACTGAGACCATTTGTGGAACAAGTCCCAGTTGAAGTTTACTTCAGCCTATGAATGTCATTATCAAGTTATGAATTTCTTTACCAAGACTCAATGACATGTTTTTTAAGTGATTTCTGAAAAGAATTGTGGGTCATGTGAAATAGGGAACAAATGAAGTTTTCAAGGATCACTTTGCTTTGAATATTGACCAACTTTGACCCTTTTTTTAATTAAATCGCTATGGAGGGTTGGGGGTGAGTGGCCAATACATCATGTTTCTTTTCATACTGCATTAGTGAAATGTTTGCTCTATGGGCCACTTGAGAAAGCATACCTTATGGATTGTGTTTGCTGGAATGGTCCACATGGAGAGGTTACTGCAGAAACAATGTTTGAATGTTGTTCGTCATTCATCTAGAGGAATTACAGTGATGTTCAACCATGATGGTCTGGTACTAGGGAAATGGGAGAGTTTATGGAACCAACATAATTTGGCTCATAAAACTATAACAAACACACTGACTTGTACAAGGCAGACTGTATTGCTGACATATGTTGTATAGAAACTTGTAAACACCATCAATATGGACAGGGTGTTAACACACTGATAAAGGAGACAAATAACTACATCAGAGGTGCCAAGAGCAGCTACATGGGTACAATGTGGTGGACACTGAGATGCGGAGATGTGAAAAGTAGGCGCCATGCAAGCAGTGTATAAACTTCCCCAAAATTCCAGTCAGACAACCAGACTGACAACATTGCAGAGGTATCAGACCAGAGAGAATGTTGCCAGTCCAATTCTCTTCAAGGTGGTGTTAAAACCATCTCACTCACTCTTATTCCAGATCAAAAATGGGTACAGGTACATTATGCACTGACATTTTATTGTGTGCATAATGACTAATAAGAGACGGAGTATATGGATGTCAACTTCTTTTTTCAACAGATCATGAAGGAGGAAGCATATATTCCGAAACGTGTTCCTTATAATAAAGAAGTTGACATCCATATATTCTCTGTGATGTTAGTTCTCTTCTAAATGCCGTTCAAAGACTTGATACTGACAGAGCTAATTCTACACAGCTAATGTTCATTTCTTAGACCACTGGGCCACCAAGTTATTACGTATGAGGTCCATGTTAAGTGTATGAGTGTGTTACAATTTTACAGCATCCAAATACTTTGGCCATATAGCAGTTAGAGTTAACAGATCAATAAGGTGGTATATGGGACAGGTAGTGTAATATAAAGAAGCCACAGCCTTGGGATACTCTGCCTGACTGGCAGATGCTTTGGTGACGGGTTTGCCATTTATAGACACGGTGCTAATTGTAAGGTTTGGTAAATCTTTCATGTGACCTGTGCACCCCTAAACTTGCCCTCCCTCATTATAGTCCTATTTATATTACCGGTAAAGAAAAAAACTTTTCAATTCACAGTTTGTCTTAAGATCAGACTTTTGCACATACAATGGCACATGTTCTCATAATGAGTCCTATTCAAAGGGGAACCTGATGGTCATCACCATGGCCTCAGTCACATCACTTCCTTCTTCTAGTTTTTGGGGGGAGGTCATGGCATTAGAATTAGAGGTGATATGGTATAATAGATTCAAGCTAATACATTTGTAACCTGATAATGAAATTAAGAACACACACAAACACAGACACTCCATACACAGTCAGTTTAGTATAGAGTCATGCGAATCAAATCTTTTTTTTAACCAGACCTGGTCATGAGATGATCTACATAATCTTTCTTATAATATCTGCCAAATTTTTTTTTTTTTTAAATGAACTTCTACAGATAAAATCACATCAATTGTGACTTTCCTGTATAATCCAACAAACTCATTTCGTCATACGAAATACAAAAAAGGAAAGGCAAATACGGATTCGATCTTGGTCAACAGCGCGTATATATCGCCAGCTTAAAAACCTACGTTACTAATGTAGAGTTGCGTCCCTTATTATGTGTCAAAGGTCAGGATCTGTGTGCTAGGCAACGCAAGTCAGGTGTGGATAGGACCCGTTTCAGTGATTCAGTGTGCAAGTGATCTCAGCGGTTGATCGACAGGTGGTTTGTTACAGAGCTAGCTGTGGTGCATTCCAAAGTTTGATTTCTAACTGTCGTCACTTTTTATAAGGTAGGTTGAGTTTTATACCCATTTGAATATAGCGTACGTCCCATTTGAAGCATCTCAACAAATGAGCCATCTCACCAAATCCACTTTTAACCAGCAGATAGGCCCTAATCAAACGGTCGATGCCATTTCATGCTGTGTTGCTAGGTCTAACAAATACATCATTTATAATTAATTAACTCTTTCTTAATTTACATTCTTTGGCGTTTTTTTTCTTGATCGCATTATAAAAGGTTAACGTATTGGGAACACTAAGTCTTGTATTATTGGTCCAACAAGGAAATCCGAAATTATGTTTTGAACTGTAAATCGAATAATATGATCACTTGATTATTTGATATAAATATATCCTAAATAACAATTATTTATAGTAATAAGAACTTATGAACTCCCAGATGTTTATATATTAGCATATCCTATTTCATTTTATTCTTGCAGTTATAATTTGGAATTTACTAGACAAACTTCAAGATGCCCATTTTGTTTTGTAAACACACAGTTATAACCATTTCTGTCTTGAGTTCTCATTCAAAGACAAACTAATATACAATATATATTTTTATGTGTATATTAGGTTTCTAATTAAGTCATGAAACAGGAGGTTACCATAGTCAAGAAAATTACAGTAATCAGTGTTTGAAATTAAGCATGAAATTCCACATAGACAACAGTGCATGGTCAGCTGATGATACTTGACAGTGTTATTTAACTCAATTACAGAATGTCTTGACATGAAGTTTAAACAGGGTATGCCCCATGTTGGTTATTGAATATTGTACGAAAAATCTGAACTGGCAACTTTTTAACCAGGGTTGCTTTTGGATAGTTAACACTGGTTAAAAGTGGATTATTTAGAGTCCCAGGATACCATTGGAGCAAACCTCAAACACCCAAGTGGCCTCCATTAATTTCAAACACCTAATTTAATACAAATATTTGCTATAAAAATGCTTAACTTCATTTTAAAGTCATCTAGTTTCACAAATAGTATGATAATTAACCTAATTTTAGAACGTTATCAAACTGAAATTGTTTTCAGGAAACAGGAGTTTTGATAAACATGGCTGCCTCTGGAATAGCTGAACATGCTGAAGCTCGCAGGAAACAGATCGTCATCAACAGGAGAGCCTACAATATCAAGAATATGATTGTAAGGAACATACATCTTATATATCCTTACATCAAACAGTGTTTGAAATTGAGCCAAGAGTCTGCCATCTTCAAATCAGTTACATTTCTCTAGTCAATTAAAGGGTACCGAAACCCAACTGTCTGGAGCCTGTGTCCTGTCTTGGTCTAGACTTGGTACTTGTTCCATGTATGATACTGTGACATTGTCTATTTGAAAAAGGTGTACTATTGAACTGCCACACTGACGTATACATGTTAACTTAGGTTAGGAGACAGCGTGGTGTTTGAGAGACATCCATTCATTTTGTTAAAACTGTAAAAAAAATGTTTCTACCCCAGTGCTTCTTTAAGTTAATTTGATTTATTTTAATTATTCTTACAATGGATTATTTTCATATGAGTTAAGCACTCAATGTTAATGAGGTATTGTCAGTGAAACATATTATATTTTGATGATTAGATCTGACCCTGCTTTCTGAACTAAGTATTAGACTTGGTATTAACATTTAGCATGCAGAATTGTTTTAGCATAAGGCACTGTAAAGAGGGTGTATGGTTTCAAACAGTCAATGCTTCATTAAACAAGTGACAATTGTAGAACTATTTTGCACATTTATTCCCGATAGAAAACTATACCTTACTATACAAAAATATCCGGATGTTTTCAATCATACCAAGGTTAAGACCAAAGCGAACATAAAATTTGTAAATTTTCTTGAACTTTCCTGAATTACATCATTGATACTTTCTTAACTTGAAATGTTTTCTTTTTGAGGTAAATAAACAACTGAAAGTTTTGATATTTTGCAAGCTGAGCATTTACGTATATTACACGTAACTTAAATGGTATGCAATGGCTACTCGTTACACTGTTATTGAGGGTGTCATTTGGAGGGTGCTTTGACTAAGCGCTGGTTGAATGGGTTTGAGAGTTTTAAGGTCACTGAGTACAGTAAATGGTGTGGATTAAAATTTCTTTGAGTAATGTTTTATATCAAGCATTTGGAAGATGTAAATTGATTTAGTTTGGGAATAATTAATATTGTGAAAAGAATATCTTTCTACTTATGTGAATATTTTTAACTGTCCTAGGAACAAAATTAAGTACCTTTTACAACACATCTTTCATTTGAAAAATTCATAATACTATGTTCAAATGGAATTAACACAAGCACTGAATGTACTGAGAGAGATAAGCAACAGGTGTCATTGTATTTTCACATACCGGTATTTTTCTTTCTTGTCATGTGAATATAGTGAGATCACCGTGAGGCCTTATAATTAAATGCCTTTAAATTGCTAAGATAGACACACGAGCCACAGTCAACAGACAGAAAAACTCAACAAGCACTAGCGTCTGCCAAGTAGAGTTGAGTCATGTTAGTTCGGACCTCATTAGTCAGTTTCTGGAGGATTCTGTTGGCTATATCGGCAGACAAAAGGCATTATCCTGTTACAATTTAATCCAGATATTTGTTAATCCGGATATAGTGTTCCTGGAAACAGTATCATCTGGATTAACAGGGTTTGACTGTATGTAAGAATTATCCCAATGCTGGTCCAGGTGTATCAGCTAGTACACCAACAGTTTTGTTGTGGGATCTGGGAAACTTTAGCCTAAGATATTCAATAATAAAACTGTTGGTGTATTTGGTCGATGCTCTGTGAAAGGTATGGGTATAACTTATTAACATTTATTTCAATCATTAATTGTGATGTTCATAGCTGACAAAAGTAACTGAAAAAGCGATAAAATATTTTCGAAAGCTGTCCTTAATACATAAAAAGTTAGTTTCCAAAGGTTTGTTCCTCTACTCAGTGTCGATATCAGTGACTTGACAATCACACTGTTCAAAGTTTGTTAACACCAAGGTTACGGTTCCCAAATTGTGTCTATTTGACAGACATCATAGAAAACAAACTCTTTATGTAGGATACTTTTTGAGATTTAAAAAAAAAATTTAATCTGATTATTCACTGCTGTGAGTGAGGGTTCAGTCTACAAGTACAACTGGGTAAAATTACTCCATGTTTAAGTTAGATTTACTCTACACCAGTTATTACATTGTTATTTTTGCTGGGGAAAAAACCCTACGAATTTTCTTGTTCTGCAGACACATCTACAATAAATTGCCAGTATCAAAAGGTCAAATATAATTTTACATAGACTAAACATTCCATATCATTTTGTTTGTAATTTTCTCAAGATATTCCATATCTGAAAACAAGAAAAGTTGTTGGTTAGTCCTTTAATGTGTTTCACAACTTTAAGAATTGTAATAAATATTTTCCCTTCACAGGAGGAACTAAGAGACAACCCGGATATGTACATGCCCCCACCAGCAGAGCGTCCCCAGTCTAAGTACGACACAGAGTACTCCTCCTCACACATGAGGAAAGTTGGCAGTCCGCCAGGGATCTCCGACCATCACGCCCCCATCATTGACAAGTAAGTTACACTCTGGGAGGAGACGGTCTTGCAGATCTGATGGAGGTCAGAATCTTGTTTCAGCTAACTGTAAATAATCCAGTCTTGACCAGACAAACCAGTAACTGAAAAGGAGGGAAAGAGCAACGATCCACACTATCAGTGCGTGATGACACGGTGTTAGATTAGTCATTGAGTCTGACCAGCTAATTCTCTTTAGTCGGTTCTTACAACAAGCATGAGATAGTGGGGATCAATCTACTCCAGAATCCTCAAGATGTACAAATCTAAAAGAAGGTGAAACGAGGAGATCCTGTGACAGCTAAGGGATGCAACTCTGCATAGCTATTTGCAATGGCTTACCTTTTCTAAGGTAATCCATTTGGCCTCCTGTGTATAAATTCAATATTAATTTGATATGCTTTTTTTATTGGGTATACAATAGCATACATATCTTTGCCTCAGGAGATTAAAGCTTTGTTTGAATAAAACTATTGGTTGACCTTGCTGGTACTTTGTCCATTGCCAACTGTGGCTTGCTCATGAGAAGAGTTAGGAAAAGGATTTGATCTTCTACCATTGCCATTCACTGGTGACCCTCATTGTATCTTTTCTCATGAATCTCCCTGTGATGTCAAACTGTTCTTTTATAACCCACCCCTGGCATGGGTGTGTGTGTGAGAGTGCATGTTTGTTTGTGTGTGCGTGTGTGTTTTGAGCATGCTTATCATCTTGATGTAGAAAAAAAACATAACTAAATCATTTGATGACATATTTTCAACAAAACAATATTCATTAGCTGACCGATTCCACCATTTTTCCAGTCAGCCCATCCCTGATTAAAAACAGGTCCCTAATACTAAGCTTTAAAATCTATCACCCAAGACATGGTAGACCTGTCTGATATAGCAAAAAATAATGTTAATTATAAGGAAGCACAAGACCTAAAGTTAAGCATCAAGTTTCTGAGACTGTAGAATAGGTTATAAGAATAGCTCAGTGACCGTGAGGACCCGTGAAGTCCCGGGTAGAATAGGTCTTCAGCAACCCATACTTGCCGTAAAAGGCGACTTTGCTTGTCGTAAGAGGCGACTAACAGGATCGGGTGGTCAGGCTCGCTGACTTGGTTGATGCATGTCATTGATCCCAATTGCGTGGATCGATGCTCATGATGTCAATCACTGGATTGTCTGGTCCAGACTGGATTATTTACAGACCGCCGTATGAAGCTGGAATATTGCTGAGTCCAGCGTTAAACAACAAACAAACAAACAGTGACTGTGAAATCAGCTCTGGTCTCTACTACTTACATTCATTGAAGACTCAGCGTCTCATAAACAAACACATCTTCCCGAGGCAAGAGAGTTAAGTGACTTTAAAAGTCCAGTTTCTACCCTTGCCGAACTAGGCTGGTATTATGGAGTTACATTTTGGCTGGGCTAACGAGTCTTTGCATCGTCCAATCAAAATTGCGCCCCGAAATCGAAATCCGGTTCGTAAACTGTCGTGCATAGGTCGATTTGCAAAGCATGTGCACCACCAACTCGTCAGCAAATATTTTCCAAATCTTTTCATGTTTTTAATCAAGGGGCTCACATGATTTGATGCATTTCCAGATGTTTTATCACAATATACATCTTGATTATCGATCAGATCGTCCTGACTGGGTGCCACCATTTTGTGTGAAACAAACACAAGTGATACGAGAAGTGGATTCTGATTGATCCATAGGAGAGGCTTAGAATGGACATAACTGGTAATAGCCACTGGTGGCGCTACGATCGAGCCCAGGAATTCCAGCCTTATTCGGCAAGGGTGGAAACTGGACTTTTAAAGTCAGTTAACTCTCTTTCCTCGGGAAGATGAAACAAACAATACAGTATACAACATGCATGTCAAAACAGCTCCTTAGACACTTGATCTGCCAGGCTTCCTCTCTGTGGACAGTTGAATAGCTACACTTGTTCACTTGTCCTATGGTTACCATCAGTATATGTCATAGAGTGGGTATATTGCAATATACGATCGAGCCCAGGAATACCAGCCTTGTTCGGCAAGGGTGGAAACTGGACTTTTAAAGTCAGTTAACTCTCTTTCCTCGGGAAGATGAAACAAACAATACAGTATACAACATGCATGTCAAAACAGCTCCTTAGACACTTGATCTGCCAGGCTTCCTCTCTGTGGACAGTTGAATAGCTACACTTGTTCACTTGTCCTATGGTTACCATCAGTATATGTCATAGAGTGGGTATATTGCAATATACGATCGAGCCCAGGAATACCAGCCTTGTTCGGCAAGGGTGGAAACTGGACTTTTAAAGTCAGTTAACTCTCTTGCCTCGGGAAGATGAAACAAACAATACAGTATACAACATGCATGTCAAAAACTGCTCCATAGACACTTGATCTGCCAGGCTTCCTCTCTGTGGACAGTTGAATAGCTACACTTGTTCACTTGTCCTATGGTTACCATCAGTATATGTCACAGAGTGGGTATATTGCAATAACCCGAAGCCTGAATACGCTATATACCATGTATACACTACCAATAACTAAAACCAGTTTGGGAAAGAATTGTGTCCTTTCGATCCATTAGTTCATTAAACTCGTATCAGTTGTGAGTGGTATCAGCTGGGCGCTTTCAACATACAAGCTCAATACACTGCCGTGACAGACATACTCTGTAAAGAGTTGTGGCCACAATCAGCATGGTGTTGGTGTAATAAATATGGCTTGACGGTGAAAAAGCTATCCTTTATCGCCACCTAATACTTACTGTGCCTTTATATCAATGATCAGAAGTTTGTCTGGCTGTGAATACGTGTATTTAACTGGGCTATGGGAAGCTTGTACAGGAAGATCGATATCAAGCGACTTGACATTTTCACAGGTGAAAGATTAACTGTGATTATATCTCTGAACTTTAAAAGCCTATTCCTAAGGCGTCAGACTTGTTTAGAGATACAATGGCTTCTTAAGAACCTGTTGATCCTGAAAATATAATAAAGAGGAAAATATTTTCATGGCGAAAAAGCTGATAAAAACTTTATTATATATATTGTTAACATTAACATGATTAGGTTAGTCGAACTTTATTATATTTATTGTTAACATTAACATGATTAAGTTAGTCTAACTTTATTTTATCTATTGTTACCATTAAAATGATTAAGTTAGTCTTGAATTTTAAGCTACATGGTTGGTCATTACCTATATGGTACATCCCATGTCATCCCATGAGGGGTTGAACAAATTAAAAAAGTTTATTTCGGGATGTTTTGTTTATGTTTTTGGGGGACCTTTTTTTTCCTCTGATCTTTTGGTTTGTTATTACTCACTGGCCATTGCAAATCTTTGAAACAAGAAATTCAATTGGTTGGCCTCGTAAAGCATCATGAAAAGTATCCCTTGTCAAATGATATATTTTCATAAATTTTGTTCAACAAGTTAGGTTTAATAACTTAATGTACAAAATCTCCCCAGGTAGTTAAAATTAATCAAGCCACTTACTTCCTATCTCGCTCACGGGACTTAATTCTCAGGCCATCGAAAGCTATTAAGTCGTCATCAAATGAAAGGATTAATACTTCAGTCACTTCGACACTTCTGGCTATTTCTCCTAATCCCTCAGATCAGGGACATCAAATACCATTTGTGCAATCAGCCAGGCTGTTTTATACCAGAAATCTCACTTCTCCCGTTCGGATCTATTTCTCGTTAGAGACAAACTCGGTCCCAGTCAGGAAACTGGTGATTACCCTACAGCATGCTGATCAATGAATACACGCTATTCACCGCAGGCGTCGAAGCGTTGTGGCGTTTCCCTGTAGCTGTCAGTAGTCGATATGGACAAGCCAAGCCATTGATCTAAGCTAAGAATGTTTCTCTGTGGCTTTACTGCCTCTACCTGACTGTATTAGCAAAAGAACTGCTCATGAAATTAACCCGACCAAAGGGCCATTTTCCGCAGACTAATATACAGTGTCTGCAGAACTAAAAGACTTGAGAGTGCTTTGTGTTCTACATTGTTGTCTAACTATGGGATATTGCTGGTTTCAAAAGGCAATGAACTTGGGTTATTTGACAGCAGTCTGTAAACATTTCATGCCAGGCATGTAGAATGCTGTCTTGTTACACAGTGTGTATGGGTATTTGCTTCTGATCAAAGAAACTGACTCACTTAAACAAACTTTTTCTAGACTGTTGAGCTTGATGAGACTGACACTCTGGGAATACTGGGTAGTTGCTGAGTGCTTGGTCATCAGATGTTTGGTTATAATGATGTAATGGAACTTTATCAGACAAACTGAATCATCGTGAGTACTATATGGACATGTCTGAAATGCTGTTCCTTCCTGAAATTGTTGAATATTTAGCAGTATATATATAATTCTTTCATGTTTATTGATATACCAATTGATTCTCCTGTATAACATATTTTCATTGTCATTATGTCTCAAGTATGTGCAAAAGATAAATAATCACAAAAATAGAAGTTAAATCCCTAAAAATATATATGCTTAAACAATAATGCAAACATATTCATTCATTCATTCATTCATTCATTCATTCATTCATTCATTCATTCATTCATTCATTCATTCATTCATTCATTTATTCATTCATTGTCTTGTGTGTAAAACAAGAGAATTACTTATTTTATTGTAAAACAAAATTGAGGGACAAACAAAATAAAACAGCAGCATCCATCATTTCTGTGGGATTACCAAACATCTATTCAGAAAGATTCTGCACTCATATGCTGGATTTGGTGCAAAACTAAATCAACATTTTCGAGGGTAGCCTAATTGTTAAAACGTTTAGTTGTCTGTCGAATAACTCCGGTTTGATTTCCCACATGGGGGCAATGTGGGAACTCCATTACGCGTGTCCCCGCGGTGATATTACTGTTCAGCTGATGTTTTTATTCCTGTTCTTCAGACTGCGGCGAGAGCAAGTGAGACAACAGCAGCTAGTGGACTACTCCGCCAAACTACCTGGAAGGCTTTCTGTGAGTACCTTGTTACACTGAAACCTTCTTAATCTGGAAAGTCCTATTTCCAGGGAAAACATCTGGATTAACAGAATTATGAATACCGTATTCGACATAATAAGCTCTCAAAATTAGAAATAGGGGTCTCTTATTAGAATAATAATTTGTGAAGAAAAAACAAGAGTTGAAAGATCAATTTCGTGGTTTATGCTGACAGCCTGAAATGTTTATATACAACATATATATTTTTCCAGAATTGAATTGCCCATTATAAAGGGTGCATATAACACTTGAATGCATATTATACACGAACAAATAAGTCTTGTGTACATTGATCAATCGGAAGGGGTGCTAATTGGGATTGTTCACTGGCCAATATATTAGCAATTATCGCCATGGGCGCTTATTACGTCGAATACGGTACACGAACCATGGGTTACTGAGTAAGCTTCCTGGAGTAATCTGGTAATCGTCCAGGAGGGGCATCTGTATTGATGGAGTCTGGAATAATGAGCTTTCACTGTAATTACACTGTGAATGTGAATTTCACCATTACTAGGAAATACTCAATTGTGATTGGCTTATCAGAGGTTTCAAATCCCAGTAACAGGCTTCTTATAACAAGAAAAATGCTTATTTAGAACACGCATCATCATGTAAGCTAATAGAGAGACTGGGGAGATAAAAAATAATGCTTTCTTAAACCTGGTCAGTGGGAGTTTCAAATATTTATATTTGAAGTGTATGTAACATAATGATGAGTTATAATTATAAGTATAATTCAAATTATTGCCAGTGCAACTTCAGGCCAAACAAATATGGATACGCTGACCCTAACAAAATGAAAAAAGGAAAAAAGAAATACTGAAAATTATTATACCGACTGCAAATGAACTTTTCACCACAAAACAATTGTATATACAATAGTTTAAACTGGAAAACTGATTAGACCAGATTCAGAAACACTGCAAACATGGCAGATATTTGAATAACTTGAGGAACAAACCCTAAATTTGAAATCTTTTTATCGTTTTTTGTTTTTCCAACCTACCAACCTGGATTTTTCAAAGACAAAATATGTAAACTGAGAAATTCCTCTCTTAGGAGCTTTATATTAAATGAAAAATCTGCAGTCCTCTCTCATCCTTTCTCCAGCTCTAGCAGTCTATACTCATCCCCTGTTCAGCTCAAGATAGGGGCCACAGGTGGCCCAGTCATCTAAGGTGCCGCGATTCGCTGTGCAGAGTTGCGTCCCTTGGGCATGCCAGAAACTAATGATTGTGGGTTCGAATCCTGGTTCGCCCTGATTATGTTTCTGGGTTTGTCAGCACCATACCAGTGCTCATGGGTTTCACCGAAGTGGTAAACATCTGAGAACTGCATCACTTCGGGCTTTCCTCCCACATTAAGCTGACAAGCCGTGATATAACTGGAATACTGTTAAAAGTGGCGTTAAACCCAACTGACTCACTCACTCACTCAGCTCTAGCAGCCGAAACCCATCCCTTCTCCAGCTCTAGCAGCCTATACTCATCCCTTCTCCAGCTCTAGCAGCTTATACCCATCCCTTCTCCACTTCTAGCAGCTTAAACCCATCCCTTCTCCAGCTCTAGCAGCCTATACCCATCCCTTCTTCAGCTCTAGCAGCCTATACCCATATCTTCTCCAGCTCTAGCAGCCTATACTCATCCCTTCTCCAGCTCTAGCAGACTATACCAATCTCCTCTTCAGCTCTAGCAACCTATACCCATCTCCTCTCCAGCTCTAGCAGCCTATACTCATCCCCTCTTCAGCTCTAGCAACCTATACCCATCTCCTCTCCAGCTCTAGCAGCCTATACTCATCCCCTCTTCAGCTCTAGCAGCCTATACCCATCCCCTCTTCAGCTTTAGCAGCCTATACCCATCCCTTCTTCAGCTCTAGCAGCCTATACCCATCCCTTCTTCAGCTCTAGCAGCCTATACCCATCCCCTCTCCAGCTCGAGCAGCCTTTACTCACCCCCTCTCCAGCTCTAGCAGCCTATACTCACCCCCTCTCCAGCTCTAGCAGCCTATACCCATATCTTCTCCAGCTCTAGCAGCCTATACTCATCCCCTCTTTAGCTCTAGCAGCCTATACTCATCCCCTCTCCAGCTCCAGCAGCCTATAGGGGCGGTCGGGTAGCCTAGTGGTTAAAGCGTTCACTCGTCATGCCGAAGACCCGGGTTCGATTCCGACATGGGTACAATGTGTGAAGCCCATTTCTGGTGTTCCCCGCCGTGATATTGCTGGGATATTGCTAAAAGCGGCGTAAAACCATACTCACTCACTTACTCACTCTAGCAGCCTATACCAATCCCCTCTCCAGCTCTAGCAGCCTATACTCATCCCCTCTTCAGCTCTAGCAGCCTATACTCATCCCCTCTCCAGCTCTAGCAGCCGATACCAATCCCCTCTCCAGCTCTAGCAGCCTATACCCATCCCTTCTTCAGCTCTAGTAGCCTATACCCATCCCTTCTTCAGCTCTAGCAGCCTATACTCATCCTCTCTTCAGCTCTAGCAGCCTATACTCATCCCCTCATCAGCTCAAGCAGCCTATACCCATCCCTTCTTCAGCTCTAGCAACCTATACTCATCCCCTCTTCAGCTCTAGCATCCTATATTCATCCCCTCATCAGCACTTGGAGATTAAGAGACTTGAGGGCCCCTTGATACATGAGGGTTACTTTGTAGAATCATTAACACTTGACCTGATATGACTCTATTTTGGAGATTATACATGTATAAAAAAGTGTCAGTTTTTTTTAATGAGATTTAAAACCTGAATCAAAGGGAGAAAATCAAGGGGTTCATAGCTCATAATAACCCAAGGGAAAGTGTGTTTATCTAACTTAGAAACCGAAAAAAGAGAAACTTAAAACAACATTTGTCAACATTGTTATGTTTCAAACATACTTTACACGAACATAAGGAAACGGACATCTCTGTTGCTGGTGTTCAGGTACTTGAAAAAGACATTCTTAAAAGCATTGTGGTTTATCAGCGCCTCTGTAGCCTATATACTAATGGAACACTCACTGGGCTACAGATACAAAGGTCGGGTGTTCGATTCATGGAGATATAAAGAAAACATTTGCCATTTGATGTGACATCATTCCGCCCCTTTCATTACAATATTAATTTCTAGCAAGAGACATTCACATGTTACAATATAAACGGAAGTTGCATAAATAAAATCCCCGGGATATTATAACTGCCCTGGTTATGAGATTTAACCCAATTTGAGAACAATAGGATGATGTCACTAGAGGTACATCTAGAACTTTCCTCACACCTTTGCTGTTAATGTAAAGAAATCTGTTTTAGTCGTGTGAATTAATTGTTTTATCTTCCTCTTTCAGTCCACAGACTACACCCAACAATGGTAGAAATACAGTATCACCTGTCCTACTTCGACAACCTGTCTCCATGGCAACCACTGCGCTTGGAAGAGCTTTGCCGATTGTTAATATAAGCTGTCCTAACCTACTTTTGGGTGTTTTTCAACAATGCAACAGGGTTTTATGAAGTCACCTCTGCATTAAGTATTTAAATTTTGAAAATTGATCCAAATGTATAATTGTGATGAGTGATTATAGTGTTAAGACCGTCAGTATTACTTTATCCATATACAGTATTTTTCATGTTATCTGGTAACACAATCTTCCTTTCAAAGAACAGCACAAAAGCCGTCAAAGCTGGAACAGAATAATTTATGATTTTTCCATTTGGCATTTTAACTGTTCTTTAATAAGATGTCATTTCAAGTTTGTGATCATTTTCATATATGTTTTAAGTGGCAATATTTCCTGTTTTATGAATATTATAACACTGTTAGAACTTTTGATTTGAAATACATCTAGAAGTTTGCCCTGTTATTAAGCTCCTGTGATATTTCTGTTTTGTTAGTGTCAAGTGATACATTTATTTTATGTCACCGAGTAAGCTATTCTTATTCACCCTGAAAACACTTAACATTCTTTATTTTATTTTCACAAACATAATACTGTGACTTCTTTATCACAAGATTTGAGGCCTGTTTGTCATGTTAATTGCCCCATTTGATTACCTAAGTTTGAATCGTCTATTGATTTGAGAATCAATGATCTATCTTGATTTTCTTACGAGATATGAATAAGCCTTTCTTTACGTTTATATCTTCCTAACTATCAAGGAACTTATGCTACAATAATCATGATAATAGTATTTTATTGTACTGTCATACTCATCAACCAATCAAATGAGGACCACAGATGTTTTAGTGCATATGAACAAACAATGATTGAATACCTCTTTGGATCAAAGCCAGTCACACAACATCCTTCAGAGTGACCTCTGTTTAAGGGGAACTTGCCTAATCAGGGCTGAGATTACTTTGTCCTGAACACTGGAAGTCAGGTCTGACTAACATTGAACATACCTAAGCATTCTGTTCCAATAAGCTTTGTTTTGAAAACTACAATTGTGAGTGTTTTCATTTTGATATTTGAATGAAGTACTAGTATTCCAGAGCTAACATAGGGGTAAGTATTCTTTAATAAATGCCTGCCTTTAATTCTTTTTATGTTTCTCTGGGTGCAGACAAGTAATACCGTATTCGACGTAATAAGCGCCCCGCTCTAATAAGCACCCACAGAAATATTTGTTAATATATTGGCTAGTGAACAATCCAAATTAGCACCCCTTCTAACTGATCAATGTACACAAGACTTATTTATTCGTGTATAATATTCACTCATGTGTTATATACACCCTTAATTATGGGCAATTAAATTCTTGAAAAATTTATCTTTCGTGTATAATAGGAACAGACTTTTCTTTTGTATCATTTCAGGCTGTCAGCGTAAACCACGAAATTTACGATCTTTCAACTCTGGGTTTTTTTCACTGAAATTTTATTCTATTAAGAGACCTCTATTTCTAATTTTGAGAGCGCCCTGGGCGCTTATTACGTCGAATACGGTACATCATGTATTTCAAGGGAATCAGAATAGGCTAGTCAAAGATATCTTGTTTGTAGTAACTGCTTTACACACTTGTTTTTGTTGAACAATGTTACAGTGTCTTACATCAAATCAGATCCCTTTTCAGAGATCAAGTTTTGGTATAACCTTTTAATTACTGTTCACTTATCATGCTTAAAATATAAGAATCAATTCATTTGTATATATTCTTGACTTAAAGACAGTAACTAGTAATGATACATCATCGTTGCAAGAAAAATCAAACAGGTGAAAACCTTTTATAAGTATTATTGTCAGGATATTTACTCAGATATGCACACATGTATTTGAAGCACCATTCAGTATTACTTTTGTAGGTTTGCTTTACTGTGTATATTGTATGTGTTTATCATGCACTGGCTGCCTTATGATTTATACAATAAACTGTTTATCACATGATGTGGTTTGTATTTTAGTTCACTTCAAGTGAGTGAGTGAGTTGGGTTTTACGCCGCTTTTAACAGTATTCCAGTCATATCACAGTGTGTCAGCTTAATGTGGGAGGAAAGCCCGAAGTGATGCAGGTCTCAGACGTTTACCACTTCGGTGAAACCCACGAGCACGGGTATGGTGCTGACAAACCTAGAAACATAATCGGGGAGAACCGGGATTCGAACCCACAATCATAGGTTTCTGGCGTGCCTAAGGGACGCAACTCTGCACAGTGAATCGCAGCGCCTTAGACGACTGGGCCACCCGTGCCCCCCAGTTCACTTCAAGACAGCAAATATGTATCCTGTATGATTTATGACATCAGCAGAAAACAGAGCAGCCAGGTGACCAATGGTTCAAGTCTTGTTTCTTATGCTGATGGCCGAATTTGATTCCCCTAAGGAAAACCATGTGAGAAGTCTATTATTCATTATGTGCGTGCATGCGTGCATGCATGTGTGCGTGTGAATGTTGTTTACATCATACTCAGGTACCGGTATATTACAACCATGTGACGATGGCCTGTGTGTTGCTGAGTTTTTGAATGGCAAACCAGTCGTTAACAATAGGAGCACCAATCCATGCCATCAGGCACAGGGACACACAAACAGCCAGGTCACAGATTGTAACTGCCCAGTGCTCTCTACTTGACACTCCTGACACGAGGGGGGACGGGTGGCCCATTCTTCTAATGCACCCAGATTCACTGTGCAGAGTTGCCTCCCTTCGGCAAGCCATAAACCTATGATCGTGGGTTCAAATCCTGGGACACCTCAATTATGTTTCTAGGCTTATCAGCACCATACCCATGCTTGTGGGTTTCACCAAAGTGGTAAACGTCCGAGACCTGCATCACTTCGGCCTTTCGTCCCACATTGGGCTGACACACCGTGATATAATAATAATACTGCTCAAACCCAACTCACTCATGACAAACATGGTATAATGATGAATTCTTCTACCTAGAATCACTCTAGGACAACCTTTATTTGAAGAATGAAATAGTGCTAAATATTGTATTAAAAGATAAACCTTGTACACACTGCACACAGGGTAGACATTTCTTATCACAGTTCACAGAGTATTTATTGAAAATGTCTTCAAAATGTAATCTGTATATACAACCCTGTGCACCATGTTTATTAAACAGGTCAAATATTCATCTTGCAATGTAACATATTGTAAGCATGATCGTGTTGCAAGATGTGAAATATGAGTAACTTTCTTACATGGATAAACAAGCTTGGTAAACATAGATGAATAACCCTTATGTTTTTATTTGTAATGGAATTAGGTTGCATCTTTTCTTGGTAAACATGTACATGTAAGTTGAGGGTTGCATTCATACTTCTTCCCGAGGTAAGGAAGCTAACTGACTTGAAAGATCCAGTTTTCACCCTTGCTGAACTATGCTGGAATGTACTAGCTTGACCAGTGGCTATTATGAGTTATGTCCCTTCTATGTCCCCTCTACTGACCAATCAGATTCCACCTCTGATATCACTTGCATTTGCTTCAGACAAAGTGATGGCGCCCAGTCAAGACGATCTCATCAATAATAAAGATCTTATTGTAACAAAAGGGGTTTTACCTCGAGAAGTGCATTATGTCACTTGAGCATCTTGATTAAAAACATGAAAGGATTTCGAAAGTATGCGTTGACGCCCAGTTGACAGCACACATGCTCTGCAAATCCTGCTATTAAACGAATTCGGCGTGGCAGTTGCAATAGTGGAAATGAACTGGATGTCGATATCGTTACAGGATTTTGATTGGACTATGCATAGACTCATTAGTCCAGCCAAAGTATAACTCCATAATTCCAGCCAGTTCGGCAAGGGTGGAAACTGAGCTTTTAAAGTCAATGAACTCCCTTGCCTCGGGAAGATGGTATTCATAGGAGGATGTTAGGTAACAGATCCCCCCACCAAATGAGAATTTGATTGCACTAAAGGCTGTTGAGTGAGGACAGTTTGATAGTTGTTTGTGACATGGCTGATTGAGTGTACTCTGAAGTAAGTGAAAGCTGACATTGATTCATGTGCCTGATACACTTTGCAGGCTGCTGTGATATAGCTGGGTACAATCTCACTCCATCACCTACAGACAATATCAGTAATTGCCTGTCTCAGCTAACACTGTCAAGATACAAATCCATTAACTGGTTACTAATCATTTAAGAATCTTAGCTGGAAATTCTGTGACAAAATATTCAATATATGAATAATAAATACTTGTAAATAAATAAATTGCAAGTAATTCCATGGCATGGCTTACCAACCTAATTTTTAACGTTTAAGTTTCCACAAACCGAAAAACAATTAGGCCATGCCAACTAATGGACTACTGTTTCCTGATTGGCTGATATTTGGTTGGGCTTGTGTTATTTGATTGGTTTGAATGATGTCAGTTGTTTCATATTGTCTACAATTTTTTTATGTTAATGATTATAATAAAAAACAAGTCGGTGAAGTAATTATTGTTGAGGGGGACATGGGTGGCCCAGTTGGCAGAGTTGCGTCCCTTGGGCACGCCAGAAATCTAAGATTGTGGAATCGAATCCCGATTCGCCCCGATTATGTTTCTAGGTTCGTCAGCACCATACCCGTGCTCGTGGGTTTCACCAAAGTGGTAAACGTCTGAGACCTGCATTACTTTGGGCTTTCCTCCCACATTAAGCTGACACGCCGTGATATAACTGGAATACTGTTAAAAAAGTCATGAAACCCAACTCACTCACTCACTATTATCGTTGATTTATTTATTTTTAGAAGAATTTACTTCAATATTATTTTGCATATAAGATAGAAACCAGTGTACGCACCTTAAAACTACTTCCATAAAAAACAAAAACAATATTGTTTGTTGTTTAATGCTGCACTCGGCAATATTCCAGCAGTAGTCTGTGTAAATAATCAAGTCAGGTCCAGACAATCCAGTGACTGACATCAAGAGCAAAAATAAAATTAATCATACAGGAGTGTCACTATTTCACAATATATATTGTTATAGTTCAAATCACTTCCTCTAATGTTTTAATATAAATACATAGAATGTACATCAGGCTAACTTTTAGTTTGGCCCAGATATATATGAAATTCACCAGATGTTTTACAATATTTTTTAAGAGACAACACATTACAGATAATGATCTAGACAGACATAATTATTTATCTCTTTCACTATGCCCAAGTCACCCCAATTAAACTGTGCAGAGTGTTGTTTCATACCCTTAGAGGTAGAAATTTATATATATTATTCATTGATTAGATATTTGAACAAGAGGGTCGGATAGCCTAGTGGTTAAAGCATTCGCTCGTCACGCCGAGGACTCGGATTCGATTTCACGACATGGGTACAATGTGTGAAGACCATTTCTGGTGTCCCAGATATTGCTGGAATATTGCTAAAAGCGGAATAAACCATACTCACTCACTCACTTGAACAAGAAGGAACAACACATTTCATTGTTACTTGGTCCATGTTAGTGCAGCATGTTCATGGTGAATCAAGTCATAACGTTATCAAGAAAACAAAATGAAAAGTTATTTATCCTACTCAAAAGAAGTTAAAGAACACCCGATTCTTTCCTATAACTAACATATGTATAGTTAATCTGTCATGTCATGTTCTCTAACTTCTTTGGAGTATCGTATGTTATACAAATAATTGTAAATGTCAGATTGATGGAGGTAAACCAGATGTGATGCATGTTTGAGATGAGACTGCTTTGACGAAACTTACAAGCAGGGGTATGGTGCTGACAAACCCTAGAAACATATTCACCACAAATCTAGGATTTGAAACCATGATCATAGCTCTCTGGCAAACTCAAAAATATGTTCCTTATTTAATGTTGTTTACTGATCAAGAGCTTTTAAAACTATGATAAACACTAGCTATCAAAACTGTTATGAGAAATTTGTAGTGCTCCGCAGAAAGTCAACAAGTCAGTTGTTGAGTGCGACTTGGCTTCGGGGGTCGCCCCTGCCTTGAGACTCTCCCACAGTTCGTACTGGTTACTTGTATTAAAACACAAAACAACAGAAAATATTTTATGTCTTTAATATAAGAATAATCTGTCTTTTGTACAGATTAATTCAGTATACAAATATTTACAGCATTTGTACATCAGAAATGAGTCAATAAAGTGTGAAAATGACACGGATAAAATGAGTATATGAGGAACATATAAAAAATGAATTGTGTGAGGTAAAAACATAAAACAATGTCTCATCTTTCATCAATACACATGTTGACACAAAATAATATCTCTGGTGTGCCGAATGTGTTATAAAAACAAAACAAAATAACAAATTACATACCAAATAACATTTATATTAAATACAAAAACAGCTATAGCAGATTATAATATCCCATTTTCCAATGGCCACCAATAGACAAAGGTTTCTCCAAGCATACACTCTGATACTATTTGATTTTGATATTAAAGCTAATAGGTATTTCAAATCTTAAACAATCTAAAATATTGTTTGAACTAAATTTATGTTCGAAACTTCACGTCCATTAAGCAGAAAGTATTTTTGATTAAGGAACAACAGACCATCTCCTTAGGATGGTGCAGCTAATAGGATATACATGTATTATAAAGCATGGGAATAACACATTCCAGGCATTGCAGGTATCCATGACAATACAGATACATGCTACCTTGTCTCAGGTATGATATGAGGGTAACGCTATTTTTCAGTGCATTATCATTTGCAGAAGCCCGCAGTCTCCCATTAACTGCCCAACGAAGGAGGGCGGTTGAAAAGACAGAGGGGTTCTGCAAATGATAATGCCCTGAAAAATAGCATTACCTTTATTATAGCTAAAATGGATGGAATTTGTCATCAGTTGAAAAGAAATAACAATATCGGTTTTGAAACATTTACTGCAATCAACACGAAAGTCACTGACCCATTTTTATAAATATGGAAACGTCATAGAACAAACCAGATGACGTCACTATTAAACATGACCTCACTATCCCTACCTTATGGCGTCACCTATCAACGGGCGTGATAATGGCCCGTTGTTAAGCAATATGAGGGCATTATCAAGTTACAGTGGCCCACCGATTTCTGATAAAATGCGGATAGTTCAATGATAAGTCTATCCATTTTAGCTATAATACAGTTTTAGTCAAGACGGTTTCATTGAATGTAATTACATCATCACATTCCTCATTCCAGTCAACTGAAGGGAAGTGAAATACTACTTACAATAACTTAAGGATCACCCGATTCTTTCATATCACTATAGTAAATCTGTCATGCCATGAATATTTACAGCATTTGTACATGAATGATTCAGTAATGTATGAAAATTACAAGGATAAAATGAGGATATGAAAGAATTGGGTGGTCATGAATTTATACATAGGGTATGCATTGAAGTCAAGGAAGAGATATTCTCATTCACATATACACAAGAGTGTTAGTTTAGGGAGGGACTTTCTAAACATAGAGGTATCCCAGTGAGGATATTTGAAAGTGGAATTATAACTTCATCTTCATTTTATTTTGATCAAATAATGTCTCTAATTCCTGTAAACAAGACATGAAATAAGCCTACAAACAAAACATTCAAACATTCATAAATTTGAAACACTGTCAAAAGATGTTCTAAAATAAAACCCTGTCAACTTTATGCATTTGGAACACACCAGTGGTGAGGAAAACACATATCTTAGACTTTTTATATTATTTGCATTTTCATGTTGGAAGCAGAGACTGGTTCCAGTCTAACTAGACACAGACATCTGCTGCCTGACCACCTGGATAGGGAGTCTGCCCAGAGAGTGGAAGGTCTGTGGTTCAAGTCCATATATAAAGATGTCAAAAGATGGTACTTGTTGTCACTCTGCCTGGTGTTCAGCACTAAGGGAAGAAAACAAGGACTGGTTAGCTCAGAGTCAGTATGATGTATCTGAGTGTGGTATCCATGTTTCACTGAGCATGGTATCTCAGTGGGCTAGCACACACTATAAAACCGGGATAAGTCAGGACTAGTAGAAGCGCACGCACGCACGCATGCACGCACACCACACACACACACACATATGTTATAAGTGACATTAAATCCTATTTCACCTCACCTACACCAAACATCTGCTCGTCATCCATTCAGTAGACACAACATATGTACCATCTTCTCAACATGGCAACTAGACCGTTGTAAAATGAAGACCTATGAGGGGAGTGAGTGAGTGACAACAGTTCTAACACTACTTCCAACAGCATTTTAGTTATGTCACATGTAGATGTATGGTGTAGATGTCTGCCACATCAGTTGTCCAAGAGGGTAAATCACCTTGCTTGCCAGTAGATGGTCTTGACAGTTTGAGCTAAGTGGTTGTGAAAATGGTTACACAAAGCTGAATATATTTCCTAAATGTACGTTTTACAGGCTTTGAACTTGGTCTTGGGTACACCCTGACATGACCTTGGTCCAGGGTACACCCCGACATGACCTTGGTCTATGGTACACCCCGACATGACCTTGGTCCAGGGTACACCCTGACTTGACCTTGGTCCAGGGTACACCCTGACTTGACCTTGGTCCAGGGTACACCCTGACTTGACCTTGGTCCAGGGTACACCCTGACTTGACCTTGGTCTATGGTACAATCTGACATGATCTTGGTCCAGGGTACACCCTGACATGACCTTGGTCTATGGTAAAATCTGACATGACCTTGGTCTAGAGTACACCCTGACTTGACCTTGGTCTAGAGTACACCCTGACTTGACCTTGGTCCAGGGTACACCCCGACATGACCTTGGTCCAGGGTACACCCCGACATGATCTTGGTCCAGGGTACCCCCTGACTTGACCTTGGTCCAGGGTACAATCTGACATGACCCTGGTGTAGAGTACACCCCGATATGAGCCTGGACTAGGGTATACTCTGAGGTGACTTGTCTCAAATGCAACAATTTAACAGAAAACATCACTGCATCAAGATTACAAGACTCTATTAAGCATTGTTTAAAGATCAGAGAGGATTCAGGACATCAATGGAACCAAGGTGATGGACCTGCTGCCCCATCTTGCAGAATAGGCACAGCCCGGAAATATTATCCCTGAAACAGAAGGAACTTGAGAGAAACAATTAGCCCAACTCCATGTGAATCCAACAGATGGCCCCAGGTGCATCCAACAAAATGCATTATCACCTTCCCAGAAGCAAGGAGAAGCTGCAACATACGAGCCATCAACGAGGCAGAAATACCAAAGCCCACAGTGACACTGCTGAATCAAACAATTGTACACAAGCTCCAAACCCAGACAAATACACAGTAAACACGATACTTGACTAGTACACAACCATAAAGGACATGGTTTTACAGCACTTTCAGCATCTTAAAATCTCAACTCTTCAGTAACTTGTTAAAAAAAGGAATCAAATCACTTCAACCATTGTAACTCCTACACTGTAAGCTTGTAATAGTCGTAGTGTGATATATGATATAGTGGGCATCGTACAATAGACTGTTTTTAGCAGAGATTTCTTATGAATATGGACAGAATTATTATTATTATTATTATTATTATTATTATCATCATTATCATTATTCAAAACAAAGGCCTGGTCCTCCTCCCAGCTTGACATTCTTCACACAAACAGAAGCAGGCTCTAACACATAAAACACCTGTCTGCCCCCAACAACACATCAATATGACATCGCCGTGAACAAATGACAGTGGCACAGTGAAGGGGTTATATCTAAACACATCTAAATGGTATCACTGATGCAGGACCCAGTAAAGGTCACGGACATCTGACTCCACACAAGAAACACCTCCAGTGTGACCTCCTACCTCCCTCTTTGTAATAGCAAACTAACCCAGCTACTGACACAGTACCTGCTCAATGAACACATCTACAATGACAAGACTGTCGATCTGGGGGTCATGGTGAGAAGATGAATGCCTCACTGGATAACCTACGAGACTTTAATATCTCCTGTATTCCATTGTTCAGCAACTCTCGAGGAGGTTCTGGGTTTGTGTAAGACTCCAGTAACCTATGCCAGTCATAAGAGGTGACTAAATGGATCAGTGATAAGACTCTGTGACTTTGTTGGTGCATGTCAGATTCCATAATATACTGGAATGTGGTTGTAACAACAAACAAACACAAATTGTTCTGCAATCATCTCTACTCTACCTTGTGGACCCTACTGATGCCAAAACATGGTTTGGGTTTGAACAAGGTCTGACTGTTGAACAAGCAACGGATGTTGATTGTTTTACCGTGTCAGCTGGTTTGACAATCTGCATCGAGGAGAGGGTCATTTCAACTTTATTTGCAGAAATTATTAAACTTTATTCAAGGAAAAGAGATACAAATCATGTTTATGTATGGAAATAGTTATTGGAACAGTTATTTAGGACGAAATGCGAAGTTTTATTGTCAAATGCTGGGCTGGCTATCGGACGCCGATTGACATCGCCAGTGGAAAAAAAGGTGAGATCTTCGACTCCGTGTATAAGACGACCCCCCTTCTTAGCCCCCTCATTTTAGGTACGAAAAACTCGCCTTATACACAGCGATATACGGTATTTATAAAAACATGGAAGGACCAACTTGCCTGTCTGGGTAGCAGGCCTTGGTCTCAAACGTCTAAATTCAAGCATTCCTGCAAACTGTCCCAACAGTGTTTGCAAACATTTGTGCACAACCCTTCCCAAGATTGTTTATTGGTATGGGGTCGGTGTTTGTCAAAGTTCAGCTATTACAAGATCTTTACACATCATAAAATATTGATTCACCTCTTATCTGTCACATATCTGTGGAGACCTTTCCCATTTGATAACTATCTATACATAAAGTTTAAAACATCCGACATTATGAAATCTATCAAGACATTTTATTTTAGTGTCATCTACATTTGACCTGCAAGCCATGTGGTAACTATTGATCAAAAATATTGCACTGACAGTACACATGTAAACATTCCATATGAAGAAATTTAATTCACATATTTGATACATTTGAATTTCTTCCCTTGACTTCTTGGAACAGTATCTGTCATTTCTATGTCAAATAAACATATACACACCTGGATAAAGGTTAAGCACCACCTTCTTCATATTCATACTTCTACATATTCATATTTATACTCGCCCCTTGAAGATAACACTGTTTAATCAGAACAAGCTGGTATCACACAGTGTTTAATAGAAAAGCGAACGCTTATGTACTGCCAGAACTAGTTTCACTAACAAAGATTGAAAACTCCCAACATCTCCCGGCTTATTCAATGACATTGCGTGTAGGGCCCTACAGGTGATCATAGCCCATAGACTGTCCTCTTTGTTAAAGTATGGGTGTTACGATAACCTCAGCGCTTCGACAGCTTTGTGGAATGGACACCTGAATTCTAAAATTAGGCAGTTGTATGGTATTAAATAAACACATGTCAACTTTTGATGTGTTTGAAGTATTATTCTGTTAACCCCAATTGGATTATGCTCTGCATCACATACGGCAGTGAAATTTTAACAAGAGTCATCAGGAGATGACATGTCCCCCTGGTCTGGTGCAATTTGGAAATAGAATTTAGCTACCCGACTATTGGTTCATTGCCATGGTATTCCATCTTCCCAAGGCAGGGGTGTTAACTGACTACAAAAGTCCAGTTTCCACCCTTGGCGAACTATGTTTGAATTTCGTGGCTGGATCGTAGCACCACCAGTGGCTCTTACGAGTTATGTCCCTGCTGTGTCCCTCCTATTGACCAATCAGATTCCACCTCTAATGTCACTTGCATTTGCTTCAAACAAAATGGCAGCACCCAGTTAAGACGATCTGATTGAAAATCACGATCTATATTGTAATAAAATGGGTCTTACCTCACGTAGTTCATCAAATCATTTGAGCACCTTGATTAAAAACATGAAAAGATTTGAAAATATCTATCAACACCCTGTTGATGATACAGATGCTTTGCAAATCTTGCAGTTGATGGAAATCTGCAATTCAAATCCAAGTTGTTTACGAACCAGATGTCTAGCTCATTGCGCAATTATGATTGGACTATGCATAGACTCGTTAGTCCAGCCAAAAGGTAAGTCCGTCATTCCAGTCTATTTCATCAACTGTGGAAACTGGACTTTTACAGTCAGTTAACTCCCTTGCCTTGGGAAGATGACTGTTAGTTAAGTGTAGGGAAAAATAATGCTGTTCAGTATTTATCAAAACCCAAGGCACCAATTCAAGTAAAAGTACCTGTTTCAATGAATTTTTTAAAAACAATTAATAGTTTAAAGTTCTGCTCCGGAAACGGAAAACCGACGGACAGACATGGTGATCTCTATATCTCCAATTTTTCAAACCGGGGGGATAAAAACAAACGGGAATATCCACATTTGAAATTGATCTCATTGGATAAATGTGTTAGATACCAGCAACACCAGCTAAAATGTTAGTACAAAAACACAGTAGTATGTTTTGCCAGATATTCACAAGTACTATTAATGCCTGTGAACCAAAGAGGCAGAGGAAGCATAGACTGGGTAGACAAATAACTATTGCCATGGAACAGTTACAAAAAACATTATGAAAAAATATATTTTACTTCCAGTATCTCAATACAAGTATTTAACTTTTTAAACAAGATAAATATGTTTCATCAGAAAACTGACACAGGATGTAATTCTTAAAATGGCCACTTTACATTGAAGAACAAAAGGTAGTGCTTAAATTCTTCCCAGGTGTGTTCTTAGAGATCATAAGAAAAATCCCTTAAAGTTCAATACATCTATATCACATGGGTAAACATCTGTAACATCACATGTAACAAAAACAAATACATGGAATACAAAACAGTAACATATAACAGTCATAACAGGTCACATACCACATGCTGGTACATACCATTAATCACACTCGTATCAGAGCAATCTTGACTTTCTTTCATTTGTTGGCTTACAGATTTCTTTTCAAAACCTGTGACTATAGCAACAAATAAGCACTTTTGGTAGGAAACATTCCTTGTGTACCGGTATCTCATAGTCTTTGGAGATTTTCTCACCCCACCACCTACAGGAATGACGTGGGATATTTTCGAGTGTCCTGATGGTTCATATCACAGATTGATTGTCATTTTCCACATCATGAGACACTTTGTCCCATGAAGACACAGACAGGTTTAAGAATGTTGGCCAAATAATATTGCTGTCGTCTCTATACAGGTCATATATAAACAGAATATGTTGTTTTGTACAGTGTGTTAATGGTCAGTATAAACACAATGTAGGGTTCAAGTCTGTACTTTCAGAGTACTTCATTGTCTAATACCCTGTGTGTTAAACATAACCTAATCATTTTCAAACAGGCTTTTCACGTTTTTGTCAGGTAACTGGGTATATCTGTTGCTTTGTGACAAGACACTGAGGTAGATGTCTGATACTTGGAATCAGACGTCTGCTCTCCTTGTTCAGATGTCTACAGCTTGTGGGCACTGTCTGAAGTAGACGTCACCTCTCCTTGGTCAGACATCTACAATTTGAGGGTGCTGTCTGAGGTAGACATCTGCTCTCCTTGGTCAGAGGTCTACAGCTTGTGGGTGCTGTCTGAGGTAGACGTCTGCTCTCCTTGGTCAGACGTCTAGAGCTTGTGGGTGCTGTCTGAGGTAGACGTCTGCTCTTCCTTGGTCAGACACGGTTTTCAGCTAGTGGGTAGTTCTCCTTTGTCCCGAGTGAGATGTTCTATCCACACTCAGTAACCCTATACATGTTTGCTTACACCATTTGGGATCTCCACATCACCCAAATCCTACAGCTTGATGTGAAAGTGAATCCTTTGCTGCTGTTAGTTTTGTAACAGGACTGTCACACAGTCAGACACCAAACAGTGAACACACACATATCCATGCACCAACAGTAACCCTAGTGTTAAACCCTACACCCTGCCCACCTGTACTGCCTCATGCTGAACAAAAGTAAGTCCACAAAACACCCATGTCACAAGCCAGTCAATATCAACAAACGTGTATACACATGCAAAAAGTGAGCTATGTTTTAATAGTCCATAAATACCGGTAAATATTATCAAGGATAATCTTGGCTGTGAGAGTCTTCCAGTCTGAAAAATAAAATCTGTCCAATGATGGCAGAATATTATGGCCTTCAAAGTTTATTCAGCGCATTGTGACGAATAATTTTTACAAATCTTCCTAAATTTGTAAAATCCATCTTCTGCCACCATCCTTCTATAAACATTTCCTTTTCCAAATCATCTCCATTAGTCTCACAAGCTAACCAACACATCCAACCACCCCGATATTATTACATTGTTAGGGATTTCACCAGAATGTAAAGCTTTCAAAATGATGTTAAGATGAGATGTCAAAGGTGTTATGTAAGTTGATGATGTTAATCAGTGTTTCAATGAAGCGTTGCTGACGTCCATTCTCCATTGCAGCCCATGTTAATAAGTCTACAGAAACTTGACCTCACATTTTGAACATGGCCTTCGCCCGAATATCCTGTTTAAGTGTTTCATATCGCGTCTGTAGCTGATCGAAGCTGATGTTTGTTCCTTCAATGCTGGAAGCTTTTGATGCATCCGGTGACTCTGGAGCCTTAGTGTTGGGGAGAATTCTGAAATGCAGAGAATCAGCTGTCATGGCAACAAACAACAAGAAATATTGCTGTTCACCTCAAACACTATCTTTGGAATTTAAAATAATAATAATAAGCATTTTATTTCATGTCATTGATAATTGGGGGTCTTGTTTTAATATCCTACTTCAGAGCAAATTGTAAAACCTTGGAAGCATTGTATAGCCTCAGTGCTGTTAAATGCTATCCATCTTTCTGCTGAAGAAGATTTCAGTAACTGAGACAGGTGCTCTGTCATGAGAAAATATGTCTGCTGTCAGCTCAAGAAACTTGGAATCCACATCTGTCAGCTCAACAAACATGAAATCCTCTGTCAACTCAACAAACATGAAACCCTCTGTCAGCTCAACAAACATGGGATCCTCATCTGTCAGCTCAACAAACATGGGATCGATCCTCTACATGGCAGATAGTTCTTATACTGATGGTAAGGTAGAGAGAGTAGGATACATACGCTCCTGTCTGAATGAGGCGAGCCTTTTGGATGAGTTTGATAATGCTCTTGTTGGATGTCATCTCCTCCGCAAGATGTCCGTCCAGAGTGCGACAGTTCAGATCTATCTCCTCACGAGCCTGGGAATAAAACAAACAAAATAACATTGGAAATGGTCTTGAAGAGATATTTAGGAAATGACAAGTGTGATCACTTGTGGAACAACTTGATCCCATAATGTCCATATACTTCTAAAATCTCTCACAGGTTTACTTTTTTCTCAAATAATTGTCAATAAACATGACAACCAGGTTCGATGTAGAGCAGTGAGAGCAGTTAGGTATCGGTCATTGTCTAAAATAGCATGCGGACTAGCGATCGAAGACGAGTCTATACCCGCGACACTATGGGTATGTGCAAATATAGGATTTGTTTCCAAATTTAAGATATGGTTTCTTGACAGTTGCTACCAGCTGTGACAAAAACATTTGGGTATGAAGTGAAACAATGGGTCAGTCGGGTTACCAGAACCACAAAGATTTTGTTTTTGGCCTAACCCTCCTGGTTGATGAGTTGGATCTGAGAGTTGGAGTGGTGAGTTGGATCTGAGAGTTGGAGTGGTGAGTTGGATCTGAGAGTTGGAGTGGTGAGATGGATCTAAGAGTTGGAGTGGTGAGTTGGATCTAAGAGTTGGAGTGGTGAGATGGATCTAAGAGTTGGAGTGGTGAGTTGGATCTAAGAGTTGGAGTGGTGAGTTCTAGTGGTGAGTTGGATCTGAGAGTTGGAGTGGTGAGTTGTATCTGAGAGTTGGAGTGGTGTGTTCTAGTGATGAGTTGGATCTAAGAGTTGGAGTGGTGAGATGGATCTAAGAGTTGGAGTGGTGAGTTCTAGTGGTGAGTTGGATCTGAGAGTTGGAGTGGTGAGTTGGATCTGAGAGTTGGAATGGTGTGTTCTAGTGATGAGTTGGAGTGGTGAGTTGGATCTAAGAGTTGAAGTGGTGAGTTCTAGTGGTGAGTTTGGTGTGATGAGTTGGAGTGGTGAGTGCTGGATTTGTATAAAGTGTCAATGGTTTGGATGTCAGTGTGCTAGGTGTTTGGTGTTAAATTGTTACATGCCAAAGTGTGGAGGTGTAGGGCACAGAGATGGCTGTTAAAGGACCATGAATACACCTTATGGATGAATACCAACTACACAAATGCCAGTCTACAGGCTGACTTACAGTCAACAACAGGAATTCTTCACCAACACCTACCAACAATATTTCGATGGTTTTCTTTCTCCCGTTGGTGCAGGCGAGATGCAGCGGACTCAGTCCTGCATCGTTCTGGACGTTGAGACAGGTGGCGTCCTCCCCCAGTAGCGCCTTCACGATCTGAACGTTGTCCCCGCCCTCGATCGTGCGGTGCAGTGACGTGCAGCCATCGAAGAGATTCACAGCAGATACATGACTTACGCAGTCATCTGTTTGCAAACAATAAACAGAAATTTGAAACATACTCTCTCTCAGTCCATCTCTATCATGTTTTCTTTCTAATATCTATTGCCACACATACTTTGAATATTTCAGCAAATGGAATTAAGATTAAGTACATATAATTATTTCAAAATGCCTACCAAAATGATCGAGACAGAAGTTCTTGTCTACAAACATTAGCTTGCGAATTCAAACTCTGGGATTCAAACCCATGATCTTAGGATTCTGTAATGTCTAAAGGACATAACTCTGCACAGTAAATTCTGGCACTGTGATGACTGGGCCACCCGTGTCCCCAATGTGCAATAGAGTACTAGAGATTATCATCAACTAATCATCAACAAATCATCAATTCATCATTAACAAGTCATTATTTCTCTTTCAAAAGTCCTACAGAAAGTAAGAAGCCAATACTTCCACTAGCGCTGAACTTCAAATGTTTTTTTTCTCCAGCTGCATGTGTACATCAGCATGAAAGCAATCAGTAACATTCCATCCATTCCAAGGTGAGCGTAAACAAATGAATCTGGGCCATCCAAACCAGTGATTGATGTTACGAGCAACACCATCGGGGGACAAAGACACTCAATCAAACAAGTTATCACCTGATCTGACATAGAGAACAGAACAGAACAGAATTTATTTCGTATAGTCTGGCCATGAGGCCAATGTTCTGTTCTGATCTGACATAGAAGTCTTTAACGACTAGCTATTCTAGCGCAGGTTCCTACAGGATCGGATGAAAACTGATTGACATGTTACAGGCACTCTCTGGCTATCTTTAAAGGGGACTTATCTAAACTAAAAAGTAAAAACATTTCTAAAATGTCCAGTGTATCGACAGGTAAGGTGATTAATTATTCACGGACATGAAAAATAGCAACATGAAAATAAGATCAAAGTGGCTTTTCTGTTGTTATTTTTTTTATACCGCCAACTCTATTGGTATAAAAAGAAGTAACAAAAATAAATTAACATGAAATATCACTCAAATTAGTTTTTGTTGTAACGAGGATTCATTTCAAAATTTGAAAAACTGTATTTGACGTGTTAAGCGCCCAGGGCGCTCTCAAAATTAGAAATAGGGGGCTTTTATTAGAATATAATTTTGGTGAAAGAGTTGAAAGATTGTAAATTTCGTGGTTTATGCCTACAGCCTGAAATGATACTAAAGAAAAGTCTGTGAGTATTATACATGACAGCTATATTTTACCAGAATTTAATTGCCCGTAATTAAGGGTGAATATAACACACGAGTATTTTACACAAATAAATAAGTCTTATGTACACTGATCAATCGGAAGGGTGCTAATTGGCATTGTTCACTAGCCAATATATTAGCAAATATCGCCGTGGGTGCTTTATAAAGCGGGGTGCTTATTACGTCGAATACAGTATATACTGAAATGTTTACTGCAAAGTTTGAAGCAATGTAGACTGATAAAGATTTCAGGCCCTTTGATATGACATATCTGGTTATATAGTAGTTTAGGCGGAAAATTTTTTTCAACATTTTTGTGCCTTGTGAGTGCAGTCTCGGGGCATAATTCGGGAAATTCAGACATGTTCATTTGAAAATTATTTTTCCTCAACACCACCAACATTGTAAAAACAAAACAAAATTCCAAACATACCCCACCAGGAACGTAGGGAGGAGTAGATAGCTCTCGTTTGTCTCACTCACCATGATATATAAAGAGACCCTTAGGTCTGCTGACATCTCTCAGCAGTGCATGTACTGTGCTGTCAATCCGCGCCGACAACAGAGGGCGATGGATCTTCATCTCCCCAAGTCTTGGTCTGGTTGAAGAGAAATGTAACTGAATGTTTTGATGATGGAGTTACATGTAACCATTTCATGGATGTTTCATGTTTGCCAGCTGCTAACACTGTACCCACTACAGGTGTCAAGAGTTGGAAATTGTTTTATCAGAGCCTGTTCCAAAAACTTTTTAGATAAACATATAAAACAATCTGATCATGCATGTACTAAAGTTGACTGAAATTTTAGTTTTACTCAAACACATACAAAAGTCAGAAGGAATGCATGCATAGTCAGAAAGAAATACGAACACTGTCAGGTTTTATTGTTATTGTCTTTAAACAATATATCCTGTGACTGACCACAGGTCCAGGTAGCCCAGGTTCTTCCCAGAAACTAACTGACCAAACTACCTGAGTTCCCCATCCCAGCCCTACACGAAACCACTCTCTTACAAGGCAGGCAGCAGTGGTTGCAGCTATATGGTCACAGAAGATATCGGCACCGGAATAAACACTGAAATCCTCATAGTAACATAGTAACAATCCTGGTCCACTACCATGTAACTGGTCAACATCCGGTGTCCGCATATCGACACAGTGCATACACTGAGGTTACGAATTTAGCTTGTGTTACGATCTGCTAGAGACAGGTCCTCCACAATCATTGAAACCCCAGGATGATGTTTAATAGCTGGGAGTTCATCCCACTGTTGGTAAGCCTGCATGGCTTGATTGAAAACTGGCTGGGCACACCCTCAGTGGTCACTTCCACTTATGAGTATCTCTGCTCTGTTGTCAAGGCAGTAGTGATGGAGAAATAACCCCTGAGACAAGCTTCCACAAGGGTGGCAAAGCCCACTACCCACCTGGCTTCCACTTCCATGGAACGTGTGAAGTCTCCACTGGTCTGCAGTCGGTTCCCGTTATGCACCTCCACTGACTGAGAGAAGTTACCACTTGCTGCAAAGCCATCTTCACAATCTGAACAAGAAGGTAGAGAACTCAGTATCTCAATAGGTATACAGTTCAGTACTATCTCAAACAGTTGGTGTACTGAGGGGAAAGCGGTCCAAAGCCTTCAGTTAATCTTATAGAGTTCCCCCCCTCTAGTTCAGCCAGGATCCACTGACCTAAGTTTAAATCTCAGATTCCTTCTGAATTATCCTTGATCCATCTAAATCATGTACATCTATGATCTGCATCATGATGTTTTTTCCCACATTAAGCTCAAAAGCCATGACAAAACTGAAATACTGTTCAAAGTGACATCCAACAACCCACTCACTCACTCGCTCACTCGAACAGGGTTATCTGGTAGATAGCTATATCTGGTCCCTACAGGTCATCTGACCTTATCTTTAAGGTCATGAGAATCAACTGAAGACCACATTCACGTGATACTGCATCAGACACATCACCAAATCATTGATCATATTATTTATACTTATCTGGAGGGACGGAGTTCAATTTCTTTTACATGTATCTACAATACATCAACAAAAATTACATTTTTATCTGGTAATATATTTTTTCATCCAAACATGATGCATTACCGTATTTTCTTGAGTATGGTGCGCACCCAAGTATAATCCACACCCCCTTCTAGCCGATTCAGTGTTTTGGAGAAAAAAATTCACACTTCACACAAAACTTTGCCAAAATTAATTAAAATAATATTAAAAGGAAATTTGAATAAAATCAATGAAATAAGTTACAAACACAAGTCCAGATATACAATGAACACTTTTTATAGACGGACAGTGTAATTACATGATTAATTTGTGTACTTCAGTATGGATTCGTTGACATGGTATTTCCGGTGTTGCGTGCTCACAGTAATGTCTTTGCGTTTGGGGTAAAAACATCAAAACTCATTATGGCATGTATAATGTGCACCCCCTTCTACACAGCTGTGTGTTTTGGAAAAAAAGTGTGCACTAAACTCAAGAAAATACGGTAATTTCTTATCAGCTTTACATAGGTGAAGTGACTTTTTTTTCTCCTAAGGCAACAAAACTTCAACTGTACCAACCCCAAATTGACAAATTTATCTTTTCTCAGTCAGAACCTACCTTCCATGTGTCTTGGAGTTCGTGACCTCAGTGGTCCTCGGGTTGGGTCATTGACTCCGGAGTCTACATCTGAATCATCCAAACTGAAGATAGAAAATCCAGATGGTTAATATGTCAGGATGTGATGTTAGATGGTTCACAGAAGCCCCCACACCAGAATCAACAACTGATTGTTTCTACTGATTAGGGAACACAGACCAACAGTTAGTCTCAGAAAAGAAAACATCTAACTATTTTTCTTGTTAAATATTTTCATAACATATACATGTCATGGAAAAGGGGTCCACAGAATCTATTCAGTTTCACAGAACTGAAGGCATCTAGACTTGCCATAGTATTCTATACCAATATTTTTTCAGATATTTTGATTTTGGGGTCTGTATGAGAACTAAGAGATTACAACGATGCTTGCAACTGCCCAATTTTTACTAACTGATTTTATATCTAATGTTACATGACACGAGCTATTGTACAAGGATAACAATATAATGAGGAAGACAATGGGATTAATGAGAGAAACTTCATGTCTCCATATTCTTCCAACTTCTAATGCTTCCAAATACTTAACCAAAGTGATGTATGAATGACTGTTATACAACATGCTAGGGCTGCCTATATGTTGGAGCCTTGTCCTCTAGGGATAATAGAACATGTGACTCACTCCTCCTCCTCCACATCCTTGGAGTAGACGGCGGACTCCAGGAGGAACTTGACTGTCGGCAGCCGCCCCGCCCGACACGCCACCATCAGGGGGGTGTCTCCCAGCTTCGTCCGCAGGTTGTGGTCAAAACAGGGCTGCAACACAAACACGCATATCATAACAAGAGCGCAAAGATGGCTGACACACAAATCAAGTAAGTGAATACAACAACCTATTTGTACACATACATATGATTCCGGGTAAGAATATAGGTCTCCAGCAACCTGTGCTTGTTTTAAGAAGTGACGCAATGGATCACGTTGTCAGCCTCTGTGACTTGTTTCATTGCATGTTATCATGTCTCAATTGCTCGGATAGATGCTCATGAAGTCAATTACTGGATTCTCTGTTTTAGCCTCGATTATTAACAAACAGCAACATATAGCCGAAAAATTGCTGAGTGTAACATCAAACAAGAAACTACCACATAAATGTACACATACCAGCCATGATTTCTGTAACATCGCCAGAGCCTTTTTTGACTTGTCTTGCACACACTTCATGATGAGTTTGGTCTGTTTCTCTCTGTGAGTCTCAATCATGATCCGTACACCTTCGTACTCAGGACATGTGAACAGTGCACCCCGGGCATCCAAGATGGCCGTCGTGGCACCATGTTGAAGCAGAAGTAGAACAATTTGACTGAACCCTGAAAGGTAAACCAAGGTTAAGTTTTCAAACTACTGTATTGTAGTTGACAAATGAAGACACCATTACTACAACAACAGTATCCAAGGCATTAGGCAAGTTAAGCTTCTTCAATTCTTAAGCATAATCTGGGACAGTAAATAAACCTGACATTCTTGGCTAAAAATAAGACAAAGTTATGTCATATATTCAGCATCCATATTGAGACCGGCCAGTGGGGATCCATCATACCTGGCTGACATGGACCATTCCCTATGCATCAACCACTTTTTGGCCTGGACAGGAGTATTACCAAGACCTGGCTGAGATGGTGTTCGATCATGCCAAAATGGAGAGGGTATGTATCCACATTATCACTAGCCTGTCTACAGGTCTGAAGTCACTCTGCAGGGAGCCATGACAACATTGCTGACTATTGCATTCACATCATATCTTCTCTCCTTTGCCAAATCCCCCAATTGTTGTACCTTTCTCAGCAGCCAACTGTAGAGCTGTCTTGTTCTCAGCATCGACAGCGTTGATGTCCAGCAGCTTCTTGCCCCGCCCACCCTGGTCTCCGGGCGTGGCAGTCCGACAGAACTGGATGAGGAAGTCCACAATCTTATAGTGTCCCATCTTGGCAGCCCTATGCAACACAGTTGCACCAGTCGATGAATGTCGCTTGCGAATGTCACCACCTTTCTGCAAGAGCAGACCAAAGTTAAACAACTATCCCATTATTAATCAAAATTAAAATCCTGTTTCTTTTAAAAACAATTCATCTCTTTTTCCAGCTTACATGAAAAAAGATATTACTTTTTGTAATGAACCATTTGGCTACGACACTGAGCATTGAGTCAGTCTCATAAATTCTGATTAAAATAAGAACATTTCTTTCATCAAAGACTCTTTTTAATACATAACTACAACACACTGGAATCTGGTCTGATCAGAATTACAAACTGTAATTTTAGTCTGAATTTCAGATTGTTGTGATGGAGTCTTGGGACTGAATCTAACAGAGTGTAACAATGAACCAATCATTACTTCTGTGCACACAACATTTATTTTATGAGTAAGAAAGCTGTATTAACCATATTTGATATCATTCTACACCTATCTGTGCCAGGGACTGACCTCAAAGAGGAGCTTGACCACGTCGAGATGTCCGTTCTCTACAGCCAGGTACAGAGGCCAGTTCCCGCTCCCACTCTGAAGGAACCACATCAGCAATTGTTACTTTAAGCAAGTATTATCATACATACACCTGTTTCAGATTTGTCAAAATTACATTCTATTCCTCGATGAGCATAGAGATCAATGATATAAGTACTAACATAACAAAATATGAATTGAAGAAATGTTCAAAAAGACTGAAAAAAACTCTGAGCATAGACTAATACTTGCTCCTATTAGCAAAGTCAGATTCTACTCCAAGATGAGCATAGAGGATAGTGATGAATGTTTGACTGAAGCAGGTCGTGTTGGAGACACAGTATGCAATGTTTGACTACCTTGAGGTTGATGCTGTCCCCCTCGTCCAGGACACAGTAGAGGTCTTCAGCATTGCCGTTGAGGGCACACTGGATCAGTTTGGGCATGACCACCTCCTCCTGGCGTCTGTGGACATACATCTGACATTATCCATATTGCTCACGATTCACATCTGACATCATCCATATTGCTCATGATTCACATCTGACATTATCCATATTGCTCATGATTCACATCTGACATTATCCATATTGCTCACGATTCACATCTGATATTATTCATATTGCTCACGATTCACATCTGACATTATCCACATTGCTCATGATTCACATCTGACATTATCCATATTGCTCACGATTCACATCTGACATTATCCATATTGCTCACGATTCACATCTGACATCATCAATATTGCTCAAGATTCACATCTGACATCAGCCATATTGCTCATGATTCACATCTGACATTATCCATATTGCTCACGATTCACATCTGACATTATCCATATTGCTCACGATTCACATCTGACATTATCCATATTGCTCACGATTCACATCTGACATTATCCATATTGCTCACGATTCACATCTGACATTATCCATATTGCTCACGATTCACATCTGACATTATCCATATTTGTTCACGATTCACATCTGACATTATCCATATTGCTCACGATTCACATCTGATATTATTCATATTGCTCACGATTCACATCTGACATTATCCATATTGTTCATGATTCACATCTGACATTATCCATATTGCTCACGATTCACATCTGATATTATTCATATTGCTCACGATTCACATCTGACATTATCCATATTGCTCACGATTCACATCTGACATTATCCATATTGCTCACGATTCACATCTGACATTATCCATATTGCTCACGATTCACATCTGACATTATCCATATTGCTCACGATTCACATCTGACATTATCCATATTTGTTCACGATTCACATCTGACATTATCCATATTGCTCACGATTCACATCTGATATTATTCATATTGCTCACGATTCACATCTGACATTATCCATATTGTTCATGATTCACATCTGACATTATCCATATTGCTCACGATTCACATCTGATATTATTCATATTGCTCACAATTCACATCTGACATTATCTATACTTGTTCATAATTCACATCTCAAATTATCCATACTGGTTCAAGAGTCACATATAAAAATTATCCATACTTGTTCACAATTCACATCTGACATTATCCATATTTGTTCACCATTCACATCTAACATTATCCATATTTGATCAAGATTCAAGTGAGTGAGTTCAGTATTACACCACTTTTGGCAATGTTCCAGCAATATCCCAGCCCCAGAATTGGGTTTCACATATTTTACCCCTGTGGGGAATCAAACAAATGCTTTATGCACCAGGCAACCCCACCGCCCCATTCAGTGCTTAAGTTCCCGGGTTGTGAAATAAGACCTTGCCTAAGACCAATGCAAGGCCTTGCACTATCTACTGATTTCAAATATATTGTACTTCATATTTGTACAGGAAAACAGCATAGGAAAATTCAACTGGCCACATACTCTTGTCAGAAAAGTAATGCAATAAAAAATACTCTTAATCTATAATCATGATAATCAAATAAACAGAAATAAAATTATAACTTTAAAAAAATGACATAAAATGAAGCCTTTATAACTGATATTCCATTTAATGCATATGTACTGACCGTTCCCATGCCGACTTCACTTTGTGATGAATGGAGGACTTCTTGATCAGTCTCTGGGCTGTGTGCAATCCCTGGAAACAGAAATCCAATCCAATGCAGTCCGTGCCAAAACAGTTGCGTCCATTGGCCCGAAAATGGCTCAAAGCATCATTTTCAGCAGAGTTTAGAGATATCATATGGAGTATCAAACATATTGAACATAATTTTACTAGACACGGGCTTTGGACTAATGACTAAGGTCACAGACCCATGAATTCAAATGAACTCAAAATTCAAATAACAAAAAGAGAAACTATTTTCCGTAACCACCGAAACAAAATTACACAAGGCTATTATATGATTATTTCAATCTTATCTGAAATAGTATCAGCTTTAAAAAGGCAAAGGTTCTAACCACATATGTATCTGGGAAGAAATCAAGAAATAAGTCCACGACCGCTTCATGATTGTTGAGCACTGCATGGTGTAGGGGGAGATAACTCTCCATGTCAGAGATGGAGGGGTTAGCACCGTTCCTGCGAACAAAGGTTCATATTATATATGTATCTGCCTACCCTATATCAGCTGATTACCTTTACCACTACGTATTTCTCAACATAATATGCAGTCCCATGGCCCACATCACAGTTAACTTACTTAACGTATGTTTGTTTGAGGCCACACTCAGCAATATTCCATATAAAAGATAATATTAATATCATAAGGCTAAAAAAAAAAATTGTCTTGGTTCTCAGGCACTGCCCACATCATCATTAAGTTCATTGCACATTTCGTTTTTGTTTCAATTTTCAATTTTTTTTTTGTGCATTGTGAATGGAAATAAAAACAATAAAACATGCAGCAGACTTTATGATGATGTGGGTGGTGCCTGAGAACCGAGACTATTATTTATTTTAGCCTAATCTTGACTTGGCAAAACATGTGATTGATATTTCGTAATTCACCAATAAGTCCATCATATGAAGCCATTTCTTGCCCCACTTACTTGAGAAGAATCTCTACTGCCTCGACATTGCCCATCTGTGATGCAATGCTGAGAGCGGTCATTCCAGTCTGGTAAAGAGAAACAGGTTTCAAATAAAGCCTTCTCAATATGGTATTAACTCTTTACTACAAATTACATCCAATTTCTTCAAATTTCATTAAATTCAATTGAACTTTAACTTATCATCAGATACTTTGCATGATATAATTACAAGGATGATGGTTCACTATACCTTTATACCATTAAGCATAAAATTTGTTATACAGGTGATTAGTTTTAATTTCCAATAGAAATAACAATCTGGTCCATGAAAATGAGTTTTTACTAGATTTTTAACTTGATGATCACATAATTGTATGGAGAATTGGTGTATAATTCTTTCAGTTGAGCTGGACACACCTTGGTATGTTGAGCATCTATGGTGGCTTTATTCTTTGCCAGCAGATGAGACAATGTGTTACCACGGTTGTAGATGGCCGCTATCATCAGCAGCGTGTAGCCGTCATCGGCAACTACACACAGGTCAGTCGGCAGCAACATGCTGGCTTCTACATCTCCCTGCAACACACATGAAGACATGAAACTCAAACGATTACTCAATAGACAAGCGTAAAGTCAGTCCTAAGTTGGGTTAATGACTACACCTATTATATTTGGCGACCTTTCTTTTGAGTGTAGACTGTCATTTGAAGTTCTAAGCCAGCAATGCCAACAGAAGATTTGATTATGCCATTTTTAGATTTCAATTTAAATGTCAGCTTACCTTACGGACTTTCTCACTGAGTGTCTCAAGACGCTGCATTCTGTTGAAGTCAATGACCTCTTTGCAGTCATCCTGCACATTCTGGCATGATGGGATATCATCAGGGCGGCGGCCATCATGGTCCTCGATATTCACGTCTGCACCACGTCGAATGAGACACCTTGGAGACAATTAATAAAATAATTTGAAAGAAGCTTAACTCAATGTTTGGCTTGAGAAGAACTATGAGTAATTAACCTTTTAATAGTTCATAATCAGGATGTTATCTCCCCTGATAAGAGCAAGGAAATCCTAATTGTTTTTCAAAGAGATGACAACTCACTCGACAGACTTCTTGTGATTGCCTTCTGTAGCATAATGCAATGCTGATCTCCCATTGTTTGGGTTGGGTTTGTTCGGGTCCGCTCCAAACAGACACATCAACACCTGTGAAACGTAATACAGAAATTTCTACTTGTGTCTGCAAATGTCCTAAAAGAATGTTCAAACATAATTAAAACTTGAATTGTAAGCAAAGGTATCTCAAATACAAAATACTGTTTCAATGTAAAGTAAAATGTGAAATTTGAGTTAGCCTTGAAAATCAAACACACAGAATCTCCCTACAACATGAAATATTAATCATTTTGTCTAGTTTTACAAATCATGGACATGACATACATGTACTTTGTTATGTTATGTGTAGACCTTCCAAACAGAAGGCAGCTATTTCCGGACTATTTGGGTGCCACAGTATATAACACATGTCATAACTACAAGACAAGCTTGCTGCAAATAACGATGCCAAACTCACATCACAGAGTACACAGTTGCCAGCCGTGGCAGCCAACATGAGTGACGTCATCCCGTCTGCATTGCACAGCTCCACGTCTGCTCCCTGGATCTTGACCAACGCCATGACCAGCGGCAGCTGACTCAGACCTACAGAGGGAGGGAATGAGTGAATGAAGGAGAGAGAGAAGGGGGAAGGAGGGAGGGAAGGAAGGTCTTATTTAATGGTCAATTTTGCATCCCTATTACAGGTAGGGAAACTAAGAATTGGTTACCCAGTTGGGGAATCAAACATGAGTCTAATACATGTGAACAAGCCTTTTAGCTACTGGGCTCTCCCTGGGAAGGTTTACTATGATTATCACACATATGGACTGTTTCATATATTTATGAAAACAATAATATGGTCCTCTTATTATTGAATAATACATATTCCTTTTGATAACTTACCTCCCTTGCATGCAATGTGAAGTAGGAAGTCACCATTGCTGTCACACTCAGTGTTTACATTAAAGTCAAATATCTGAAAAATAATTGAAGAAAGCATAAAAAACTGACCATGAGTAACAACATTGCTGATTATTCCAGTCACTTGTATGTTTTGTTTTGGTTACATGCAGGTCATCAACTTGACCATTCAGTCATCATGGCATGCTTCATGCAATACTAACACTGGATCCCCTGACTCATTCCACAACTGACCACAGTGTTATACTATAGTAAATCTGTGTAAGAGTAGGAATTGTGGAAGTTGCAGCCCTCAGGGAGCAACTAGAAAAGTTGTGAGTGAATTGGGGTTAAGACAAAAACGAACAAGACCAATGTGATGCAGATTGTACAAATTTAGAACCTTTGTCAAAAACCCATGAGAACATGTATCTTGCTGCCAAACCAAGTATTAAGATGGGGGTAAATTTGGTGTTCAAATCCTTTTCCAACAGATCCTGTAATAGCTAAGGGAAGCAACTCTCAGGCTATGTTTCAAACATGTTAATTCTTCAGACATTTTGATACATTTGGGGAAATAATTTTACATACCTGCAACTTTTTCTGAATCTCATCAAAGAACTTTGGGTTCTTGGCGAGACTGAATATATTGTCCTTGTCTTGGAGGCTGGGGTTCATCAGCATCCTGTGTCCTGTGGCCGAAACCTCACTCTTGGACACCAGGTAGCGCTGGGGCAACTGCCGCTTGACCGAAGGGCACATGCAAACTTCATCAGCGGTACTACCTGCAGAATGTCACAAACAAACTGATGTGTTGAACAGTGTAGAAGTAAATACAGGTCCTTCTTCCTACTGACTGACTAACAGATGTGTTGAACAGTCTATAAGTAAATACAGGTCCTTCTTCCTACCGACTGACTAATGTGTTGAACAGTCTATAAGTAAATACAGGTCCTTCTTCCTACTGACTGACTAACTGATGTGTTGAACAGTGTATAAGTTAATACAGGTCCTTCTTCCTACCGACTGACTAATGTGTTGAACAGTCTATAAGTAAAAACAGTTCCTTCTTCCTACTAACTGACAAACTAATGTGTTGAACAGTCTATAAGTAAATACAGGTCCTTCTTCCTTCTTCCTACCGACTGACTAATGTGTTGAACAGTCTATAAGTAAATACAGGTCCTTCTTCCTTCTTCCTACCGACTGACTGATGTGTTGAACAGTGTAGAAGTAAATACAGGTCCTTCTTCCTACTAACTGACTAACAGATGTGTTGAACAGTCTATAAGTAAATACAGGTCCTTCTTCCTACCGACTGACTAATGTGTTGAACAGTCTATAAGTAAATACAGGTCCTTCTTCCTACTAACTGACTAACAGATGTGTTGAACAGTCTATAAGTAAATACAGGTCCTTCTTCCTACCGACTGACTAATGTGTTGAACAGTCTATAAGTAAATACAGGTCCTTCTTCCTTCTTCCTACTAACTGACTAACTAATGTGTTGAACAGTCTAAAAGTAAATACAGGTCCTTCTTCCTACTAACTGACAAACTAATGTGTTGAACAGTCTATAAGTAAAAACAGTTCCTTCTTCCTACTGGCTGACTAATGTGTTGAACAGTCTAAAAGTAAATACAGGTCCTTCTTCCTACTAACTGACTAACTAATGTGTTGAACAGTCTATAAGTAAAAACAGTTCCTTCTTCCTACTAACTGACAAACTAATGTGTTGAACAGTCTATAAGTAAAAACAGGTCCTTCTTCCTTCTTCCTACTGACTGACTAATGTGTTGAACAGTCTATAAGTAAATAAAGGTCCTTCTTCCTACTAACTGACTAACAGATGTGTTGAACAGTCTATAAGTAAATACAGGTCATTCTTCCTACTGGCTGACTAACTGACTTGTTGTGTCTGCTATTAATCACATTACGAGACAGATGGAAACAATCATCCCTTGTAAATCCCACATTATCATACTTAGGTCTCTCGAGTCAATGGGTACTCTGTCTGATGTCAGCTTGTCACGCAAGTAGTGTTAATACCACCACAGGCAGTGACCAACAGTTATCTCAGCTCTAAGATACACTGTCAGAACATCCTTGAACATTAGCACTTGTGACATAAGGACTTTATGAATGTTGGTTTATTCTGTCCGATGATTTTCTGCTGCTATGACTATACCACAATCTGGCACAATTTAATCCCATAATGCCTATGGTATACTAATCCTAGCAGTGGAACAATTCCAGTTGAACTGAAGTTTGTGTAGACTGAACTTTTTGTTTTAGCTTTGTGAGTGAACATTGCATTACGGTGCAATTTTGAAAACTATTCACAGCTTTTTCGCTTAAAAGTAAAGTGAAAAATAAGTTACTTAATAGGATTCACCGGAAATTTGTTGTTATACTATTAAAGAGAAAAATAAATAAAAAATGACAACACACCAACATCATAAACTGTTTCAACTCTGAAGCTACGCAAGATTAAATCACAACACTGACTCTTGCTTGCAATGAAAACATGCATACTCAATATTCTACATATATAGTACTTATCTCAGTCAGCTTACACAAACCCCACCTCTTCTTTCATGGTGGTCTATACATAAACATGAGTTTACACAACCCAGATTACAGACAACAACTAAAATAGGAAAATCATATCTCTTTCCATGATATACATTCATCAAATAATTTTGGTGAAACCCATCAGCCCATTAAGAAGCCTAACAAACCTAGAAACATAGTCAGGTAGACTCTGGGATTCAAACCCATGATTCAAACCTCTGATCATAGGTTGCTGGTACACCAAAGGGAAGTAACTGTGCACAGCAAATTCTGGCACCTTGATGACAGGGCTACCCGTGCCCTGACATGCAACAGAGAATGGGGGCCTATTCTCACTCCCATCCCCATTGGGTTAAAAGTTGTGATAACAAAAGCATGATTCCTATACAGCTAAATGTCACAGTGGGGTTGTTCTACAGATCTTCTACTTACCCATTGGCCTGTAATGATAACTGTCCTTAGGTCTTACATACATCCGTACATCACTCTCTGACAAGTATATGACACTATTAGATTCAGGAAACACGAATGTTCTAAAACTCTCCCCAATTACAGCCATTACGCTGAATCATGCCAATGTGATCTGTCCTTGTTATATATACCCTTACGATTCACTGACTACAAGCTGGGCATTATGGGTAATATCAGTACTTATTGACGTGAGAATCAGTGCAATAACTACCACCTCTGATGTTGAGACATCAGGATAATACTCCTAGTATTGGTCTTCATGTCTGGACACCCATATTGACACACAATAAACTAATCATGTCGTAACAACCACATTCATAATATGCTTAATTTCAGATTTATTCTAAAAGAATTAATTTTTCCTATTGACCTTTTTTAACATTTTTTCAACATCTTTCTATGAACTCAATATCCTCTAATTATAATGTACAGCTAATCCAAAGTTTGTTATCTTAATCTCTTAATAGCAACTAATTAACAACTCAATTGCTAATTCCAGATCCCCTGCTGATTAGGAGATCATAGGAGGCGGGTCTTAAGATTAATGGGGGTGACAAGTCAGGGAGAGTAAGGACCTGAGTGTTATTGAATGCAACAGTCAGAAATATTCCAGCAAACTGCAAATACTCTAGAGCTGAGCACCTTGTAATTTAGTATATTCTTGTAAATGTTCAGAGTTGGACTTGATGAATCTTCCATGTTGGTACTCAGTCCTCCACATCCCAGAATACCATTTTTATTATTTCATAGCCTTATCAAAACACGCTCTGCTGATTATTCCAATTACTGAATTTCCTGTTTGTCCAGCTACATAGAGACACCTATATACACAACATATTAAAGTAGTTTGTTTGTTCTGGGAGAGCAGGTGGTCATTGTGCTGTTTTCATGACTGGTTTCATTTGCAATAACTGGATGTTGTCAAAAAGATATAATAAAACAATTATGATTTCCCTGTTCAACCTACCATGTTCTATGTCCGTTTTTTGTTGTTTTTTCAGTTACCAAGGGAAAAGTCTGTTGTTGTTTTCTGTGTTATCTATAACTATATCTACACAGCCCTTATTTGACATTTATTGAATGGCAGCAAGAATCAAAAACCATCCCTCATGCAGACATTCAATAAAAAACTTATATCAAGGTTCGGTAAATCCTGTGGCATGCCAAACTAGTCAAAGTCATTTTAATCTTTGCAAGATATTTTTAAACTTTTAAAAATATTTTTAAACTTGGCAAAAGACTTTTAAATGTCACATTACAATAAAACTTTGCAATCCACAGTTTTTACCGGTTTGGTGCACCACCGTGCTAGTGCACACATTTCATAGGTCATACATAATAAAATATAAATAAATGAATTGAAAGAACATATGTAGGTCCCGGAAGAGAACCGCCCTGTACAGGTGTATGTGCAGTCATTGCATGATAAATAGAGATTATCAAGTCAGTGTGTTTGGGGATGGTAAATATCCTGTATTAGGAATACTCATGGTATTTAGTGCGTCTGGGCTGTGTGTTGAGACTTTCTACACTTGATTTAACACCATGTACATAGTCCTGTGAAAGACTCATGTTTCACGTGAATCACATCTGTCCACAGTTTATGTTCACATATCCCTTGAAGAATTAGTTTTAAAAAAATATAAAAATACACACATGTATTTATGCAATGCCTCCTGCCTAACTAAAATCATAATTGGATGACAATCTAATAATCTATATATTGTGGCATGGGGATCTTACCGTTTTTATCCCTCAGTTTTGGAGAGATACCAGTGTTTATCAGGTACTGTACAGCATCATTGTTGCGGGCCAGACACGCAAGGTGAAGCATTCCGCTGCCATTATCAAACTGCTGGTCCACACCTGCAATAGAGAAATAGGAACTTAGTTTCCAGCTTTATATATAATATAGCATAGATAAAGGATGAAAGATATATCTGAAGATACTCAACCATCCATGGATCACACATATCACCTAGAACCTGTCTAGCAGAGTAACTACTATGTATACATGTGCAAAACTGGACACTTATCTCTGTCAAATGTATGATCAATGAGCATACACAGGCCTTTATATGACCCCAACATGTCAGGTGGAAGAACAAGAAAAACAAATCATCCTAAGGAGTTATAACATGCCTCATTGGTAAATAATTAGTTATTGTTACAGACCCCAAAGTATATATTGAATAAAACAATCCCCCCATTCCCTCCATGCCTCTAGAACATTAAGAGACTTGGGGGTTCCTCAATACTTGGGGGTTCCCTTACAGAATTATTTTTATTTAACCAAGGTCTTTTTTTATATCTGTTGGCTTTCAGATTAATTTTTTTCTCAAAAGCTGAACTCAGTGATTGAAAAAAAATCACTTTCAAATTTGTGAAAAATATGGTCGGTAGTTATTGAAAATATATTTTGTACTAAACCCTGATGGGACAGAAATTGGAATTGTTGCTGCAGTGGTGATCCATTGTTGCGTTCCTTTGGAATTACTACACTTGCTACACACAGTAAATACAGAAATTATTCAGGGACTATATGTTAGTCTAAAGTCATACCATGCCTCAGAAGTCATAACATGCCTGAGAAAAAAAATTAAATCAAATATTGATGAATAACATATTTTTCTATGTGATATTACAAGGTTTTTTTATATTCTGGATTTTTACATTTTTTATGTTATTAATGCAAAGGCAATAGAACAGAGCCAATGCACATTAAACTGTTTGCAGCAAACATTTTATGTAAAAATAATACAGACAAAAGATGGGTAATACTCTTCTATGGACACCATTATCTTAAGTCTGACAAAGTGACTGTTAACCAACTAGCACCAGACAAGGCAGCTTGAGTTGTATACTCCCCAAAGTGTATGCAGCCTAGCACAATATAAGTACACACATTATTCACATCATGACAAACAAGCTGTCACTTTCACCACGACATGTTTAATAATAATAGTATATCCAACTGGAAGAAAAACAATATTTGCTTACCATAAACCTGATAAATCAGTGATTGAACCTTGTTGCCAACTAAAGCATATGGAATAAGGCCTAGGGTCAGTCTGAGGACATCTGACCAAGGCAAGCGACCTCGGGGGCAATAACCCCAGGCCTGTCACGATCTCAACCGAATCCTTCCCATTTAGTTTATGAGGATGTGATGTTCAGAAAGAGAACTACAGTAGCATGACTGGTAGACAAAATAGCGGCTCCTTATTGTGTCCACGTCTTTGGGAAATGATGTCACTTTAACCACACAACCCAATCATCCCTTAGGCGACACTTTTTCTAATATATGATTCTCAGATTTTTGCTCTCCAAATAGTTTGAGTCGGTCTACATAGCCAAAGAAACCTATTATTAGAAATTTGTGTAACTTTTTGTCATTCTATTTGTCATTGGACCGATGGGAGCGAATCAATACTGATAGTGTTTAAAGTGCAGGTTGTTTAGTATTTGTTAAGAGATGTATCTGTATTTACTGCTGAGAAGTTTTGTTCCTTTTAAAAGAGACTACATACAATTCGTTCATCAATCATTACACAAAAAGTTGATAGTTAGTTTACTTTCATATCATTTTTGTAGTTGTATCTTTTTATTGTTCTTATCCATCAAAGATGAAACAGAAAAAAATGAAACATTGCAACTATTCCAAATTTTGTTGCCTGAAGTAGCTTTAGGATTGGTTGGTAGAAATCATAAAGACTGTTGACCTAAATGCAATGTGTTTTTTAATACTCTTTTAACCATGCAAAAAAAACTGAAAAAATCAAGAAAGTTATAATGATAATTGTTCAGCAATCAACTGTATCCTGATTACCACACTGCATGCAAGATTATACACAGGAGAAGAAATAACTTCTGCGACATAAAAGTATCTATTGTTCATCAGATGTTTTAGCCAAAATGAGGAGCTGGTCGACTCATCCTCAATAAACTAGGTTCAGGAAGCCATAAATGCATCATATATACCTATTGTCCAAAGTACATTTAATTATGTATCACTCTTATAAGAACATTCAGTTTTGGGAGCTAATAGAAATTGCCTTCACTGCAGAAATATGAAATACCTGATTGCCACACATCAACATGATAAACATGAAACTGTTAACAAATACTTACCCAGATACCAGATTGTGAACTAATAGTTTTGCTAACACATAATGATCAAACAATCACACAGTCCCAGTTCCCCCAAGCTGATGTAAGAAGACACATTCTGCCACCAAGGACACATTAGATAGTGAATGACTTATGTAGGTGACCGAATTTCAGTTAGAAACAGGTGGGTATAGATACCACAACAGTAGTATTCTCCTATCAACTGCTACAGAATAGAAACACCTGCAGAATGTCCCACAACATGTCAGGTTGTGTTCCTGTATAGGATTATAGTCAGTGAGTACGGTTTTACGCCGCTTTTAGCAATAAACCAGCAATATCACGCTGGACACCGGAAATGGGCTTCAAACATTTTATTACATACTTCGGTGTGAAAATGAGTTTCTGAAGTTGAGAAAGAGTGATATTTTCACTGCAGTGAACATAATTATGACTTGATATTTCACTGCAGTGAACACAACACTTGATACTTACATTGCAGTGAACATAACACTTGATACTTACATTGCAGTGAACATAACACTTAATATTTCACTGCAGTGAACATAACACTTGATATTTGACTGAAGAGAACATGACACTTTGACGGAACTATTGGCACACAAGAGTTACCTCCCCAAGTCGTCTCCCTTTATTGTAAGTGTCTTGCCTGTTCATAAACTGTTAACTTCATATTCACTTTAGTTCCACATTGACAAGGCACAATAGTGACAGATGGTCACTTATGGAGTTAATAATGCTTCTTTCTGTTTGTTATTCTCTTGAAAATGTTTGGTTATAAACTGTAAATTTCTCATTTAACTCGTCAATATATAGAAACTGTTCATTTCCCCAAACACCATTTTTTCACTTGACCAGCATGTATTCTTTCGCTTCCAACAGCAGTCTCATAGATTTCAATAATCTTTTTGTTGAAGCAGAATTTGTATATAATCATACCCAAACATATGATAAATATTTTAGTAACCTCAAATATTTTGTTACTTTTGTCTATATTTTTTCAGATTTTTGCAAACACTGAACTATATTTTAAGTCGTAATTACAAGGGGTGGTGAAACGTCCCTGATGTTGTTGGCATGTACATAAATGGCACGTACACACCCCAGGGCACAAAAAAACCCACATTATCAGTGCCCTGGGGCACACTTAAAAAAACACTTGTTTTTATCACTGCTGAATTTTGTACTCTTTATTCTGTGAGCAGAATTCCCAGAGACATAATGTTTGTGCTAATTCAACAAAATATATTCTTAAATTTGTGTAGGCTGTGGGGTGACCTCAGTGGTTGACAATACAGTGGTTCACCTACAATACACACAAAATGGGTTGGATTCACCACGTGGGTACAAAAAGTAAAGCCCATTCTTGGTGTACCTGCTGTAGTATAACTGAAATATATCTACTGCCTAAACTGGTATGTACATGTATTACCAGATTTGGCTACCATGTACCAGCCAAACAGAAATTTTACTTGACTGAGTGTTTAAACTTATATGAATATATAGCTGAGGATTAAAGGTCTTGAGGTACACATTTTACATTCATGTACCAAGATTACAAACCCAACTGAAATTTTACCAGACTGGTGTAATCTCATGGTTAATGCAACGATCTTGTAATGTCAGCATCATCCTCAATAACAAAACCCTTTCCATCTATGTAACTCTTCCAACACATGCACAATGCGACTTACCTCAACAGATCAGCAAAACAAGATGATATTCATGCAGTGTATTTACTTATAAAGTCATAGCTAAATTTAGTCTTAACCAAGTTTATGTGACGACACCTGTATCACTTTATACCCGGATGAAATAAATTGAATATATACACACCTATATAGTGCTTACTGCTGCAGTCACACATGAGTAATTCTATTTATATTACAAAATAAAAGTTAGCTAAGATTAATGCGACTCTGAAAGTATTTCAGCAGTATGCGAGCATGTCAGCTTTATGAAGGAGAGAACAGTCAGAAATAACACTGTTAGAGGTTTATCATTTTGGCAAGACACTTGAGAATAGGTAAGGTGATGATGTATGAAGAATTATCAGGAAGAATGTGGGTTTCCTGCTATCAGCAGATCCTGGCATAACTAAGGGATGCAACTCTGCACTGTCAATGACAGACCTGTTAACCCTCTCGCTTTTTGTGAGAGACTTACGCAAATTGATGAAATCTCCCAGTCTCCCACATGAGGTACTATTTCTCCCATAAAACAGCATTTTTCAAGAATGTAAAATGTGCCTCCATTGTCCTACGCGTAAAAACCAAGAACAGGAAGTTGATGATTACAGAATTCTACAAGTAAGTTTTCTGATTAAATTCATATGCAATCGCCCTTCTCCGTGTAAAACTCAGAGCTTTTTGTAACACCTGATGATATTGACTAATAAATACACGTGCTTTATAATCATGGTGATTCGATTCAAAATTCAGGTTGTTTTAATTATGGCAACCAAATGCCCCACGGATGCAACACCAGGATCAATTTTGAAAAGAAGAAATTTGCTGGCATGTATCAAGAAACCTGGAAGAAAGACCATCCGTTCCTTGCTCAAGGGAAACGTGAGACAGAAGTCCTGTGTATGCTTTCTTCAGGAGGATATTATGATATGAAGTGACATATTAAAAGTGAAAAACATTCTCAGGTTGCAAAGGAGGTTTAATCCTTTCAACTGATAACATCACTCACATGTGTGGAAAACCTAGCTGCATCTGAAATGGTTGAAT